CATTTATGAAATAACAGAATTTTGAATTAGAAAATACAATGCACTAGAACATAAACCCCACTGTTATATGTTTCCTTTTCAGTTTCTCAGTTTTTAGCCTCTTTAAGCCCAGACTTTGGAGGGAAAGTTCTTAGGGTGTTTAGTTATATCTTGAGCAATCCTCTTGTGCAATCTTTGTTTATGGTTTTGAGTTCCAGCTTAAAGAAAGACATGTATTCCTTGATGTGATGTGGTGGCTTCTTGATGGAACAGTTATTCCTCCACTTCTCTCTGGCTTACAGTCCCTTTGCTCTCTGACAATTGCTCTATTCCCACATGCCTTCCGATGCTGTCCGGATGTTTTGTTTTACAGTCCTTACTATTTTCTTACTTTCACTACAGCTGACTTTCCCCTTATTTCTTAACTCTATTTCTCTTCTATTACAGCTTCCTTCACATTTCCTTTGTCTTTATTTTTCTCACTGTTTTTAACAATGTTTTTCTAATAATTGCTTATGTTACTTAGAGACTCGTTAGTTATTTTTCCTCTTGTTTAACTATACTGCTCTTCCTTTAATTTTCCTCTTTTCGCCTTCGACCACTGTCTTTCCTCTTCCTAGGCACAGTCCCTTTTGTGACTATTCCTACCTCTCTTTCTTTCTTGTGTGTCCTGAACTGGACGTTCTCCCTTTCAGCTCTGTTTTTGGTGTCCCCTCTGTTTTTGATGACACAGCTCAGCCACTGGGGTCCCTATCCACTGGCTCCCCACTTCTTTTCTAATGCCAGTTACTGCCTTGCTCGCTACTGGCCTGTTTCCCAATGCTGGGTAGTCTCCCTCCAGACTCCACCAGCTGTTTCCACCAGCTCACAGCAGCGCTCCAGAGGGGAAGCTGCTGCTTGATCTCCCCTGCTGTCCCCCCACCCCCGCAAAGCCATCCCATGCTTATGCTCCACTTCAGATACTCCAGAATCCCTGGTGCCCCCTCCCCCGCAAAGCAGCTGTTTCAGGCTCCCTTTAAAAAAAAAATTCTAAACAACAAGAGGCTGTTTCTGAGCAGCCAACTTGCGAGGCTCCCCTTGCTCTTTTGACCCAACAGCTGCCAATACAGATGGGGCATTACAGGTTTACTGCGTTTTAACTTTTAACGTTAACAGTATCCATCCCTTTCCTTTTCTACTGGGGGGCTCTGAGAAGTGCAACACAGATGGCTCCTGTGATGCCACCATCCAAAGCTTCCAGACTGTGCTAAAATCCTTCATCAAAAAGAAGACAGTTGGGAAAGGGTATTCCATAGATTACGTTTTTAAGGCCAAAAAGGACCACTGTGATCATCTTGCAGGCCATAGGACTTACCTGCATTAATGCCTGATTCAAGTCCAGTGATAGTGCTAGAACTAGAGCACATCTTTAGAAAAACAGTCCTGATTTAAAAATTGTCAGTGACGGAGACTCCACGTGACGCTTAGTAAGTTATTCCGATAGTTAATTACCCTATTAAAAATTTGCACCTTATTTCCAGTCTAAATTTGCTTAGCTTCAACTTCTAGCCACTGGATCATGTTACACTTTTTTCTGCTAGATTGAAGAATTCTTTATCATCAAATTTCTGGTCCCCGTGTAGGTATTTATAGACTGTGATCAAATCACCCCTTAACCTGCTCTTTGATAAGCTAACTAGATACAACTCCTTGAGTTTACCACTACAATTTTTTAACATCTTTATTCAAGTGTGGACACCAGAACTGAACACAGTATTCGACATTAGTGCCAAATACAGAGGTGAAATAACCTACCTACTCCTAACTGATATTCCACAGGGAGTTCATGTTCAGCTGATTGTCCACTATGACCCCCAAGTCTTTTCCGTGTCCCTGGTTCCCAGGGTGGAGTTCCCGCATCCTGTAAGGATTCTGTTCTTAGATGTGTGCTTTACAATTGGCCATATTGACAAACATATTGTGTGTGTGACCCCAGTTTACCAAGCGATCCAGATCACTCTCCCTCAGTGGCCTGTCTTCTTCATTATTTACCACTGCCCCATCTTTGTGTCATCTGCAAACTTTATCAGTGATGATTTTGTGTTTTCTTCCAGGTCACTGATACAAATGTTAAACGGCATAGGGCCAAGAACCAATCCCTGTGTGACCCCACTAGAAACTCACCCAGTGGTGCCGGAACTGGAGGTGGGGGGGGGGGGCGGGCAGGGCCCTTCTTGAAAGTGGCGGGGGGGCTGGCCCGGCCATTTTTCACCAGCGCGGACCCCCTTCCCCTCCTCTTCCCCCCGAGGCCCTGTCCCACCCCTCAGCCAGGCCAGCAAGCAGCCCAGCTGGAGAGCCCAGGCAGCTGTGGGGAGCTGCGCGGACCCTCCATCCGCCTGGCATGTGGGGAGGAGGGGGGTGAGAGCAACCCCTGGCTGGTGTCCCCGCCTGACCAAGGGCAGGTGGAGGTTTTGTGATTCCACAGTGGCTGCCCACAGCTGCCCACTCGGCTCTCCCCGACCCAGCTCTGGCCGAGGGGGCCTTGGAGCCGCAGCTCAGCCACGGTAAGAGCTGGGCAGGCAGCTGTGAGAAGGCATGGCACGGACCCTCCACCGGCCCTGGGCGTGGAGGCCTGGGGGCAGGGATATGGGCCAGGGGCTGCTCGGCTCCCCCGCAGCAAGGGCAGGTGGGGGGTCCACCGCAGTTCCCCACAGCTGCCCGCCCAGCTTTTATCATTAGGGCCCTACCAAATTCACAGCCATGAAAAACGCATCACAGACCTTGAAATCTGGTCTCTCCCCCAGAAAGCTGGTCTTTTGTGTGCTTTTACCCTATACTATACAGATTTCACGGGGGACACCAGCGTTTCTCAAATTGGGGATCCTGACCTAAAGCGGAGTTGCAGGGCGTCACAAGGTTATTTTAGGGGGGTCGTAGTATTGCACCCTTACGTCTGCCCTGCCTTCAGAGCTGGGGGGTTGGACAGCAGCGGCTGTTGGCCAGGCACCCAGCTCTGTAGGCAGCGCCCCGCCAGCAGCAGCGCAGAAGTAAGGGTGGCAGTACTGTACCACACCATCCTTATTTCTGCGCAGCTGCTGGCCGTGGCTCTGCCTTCTGAGCTGGGCTCCCGGCCAGCAACTGCCGCTCTCCTTCTGCCCAGTTCTCAAGGCAGCGCCGCCGTCTGCAGCAGCGCAGAAGTAAGGGTAGCAGTACCGCAACCCCCCCTGCAATAACCTTGCGACCCCCCACAACTCCTTTTTGGGTCAAGGCCCCTACAATTAGAGGACCATGAAATTTCAGATTTAAATATCTGAAATAATGAAAGAAACGATTTTTAAAATCCTATGAACGTGAAATTGACCAAAATGGACCGTGAATTTGGTAGGGCCCTACTTACCATGGCCGGGTTGCAGCTCCGAACCTCCCTCTCCCCCGCACCCACCATCCCTCAGCCAGAGCTGAATTGGGGAGAACTGCGTGGGCAGCTGTGAGGAGCCTGGGTCCCTCCACCTGCCCTGGGCAGTGTCAGGGGTGCGGGCAGGGGGCTGCTTTCAGCCCCACCCTGCTCCAGGTGGAGGGGGGGTTGGGGTGGGCTCCCTAGCCCCGCTCCGGCTTGGCCAGGGGTGGGGGCTCCTGTCCCCCCCCACACTTTTGGGAGTGCTCCGGTACCCTTGAACACACCTGCTTGATGAGAATTCCCCATTTACAATTACATTTTGAGATCTGTCAGTTAGTCAGTTTGTAAACCATGAGTAAGTATCAGGTTGGTTTTGTATCTGTCTAGTTTCTTAATGAAAACACCAAGCAGAGCTTTTTAAAAAGAGCAACATTTTGAGGCCCAGTTTATATATTACAGAGGTTCTGGACAGAGCACAAATAACATGCTTTGCTTCACAATTGACCCTGAAGTGGTACAAACCCATGTTCAGCAGTAGGAGCCTTGTTCCTCCTGCATAGAGCTGCCAGACTGCTGTGGTGAGCCAAACCCCAGTAGTGCCAGGTGCACCTTCCTAGGCAGGCCCACTGCCTCCAGCTACTGCACCAGCCCTAGAGTCAGCTAGACACACCTCTTCCCAACTGGTCTGCCAGCTGCCCTGAACCTTCCCACCTAGCCACCTATGTCCCTCCTGAGCAGGAGGAAAACAGCAGCAGCAGATGGACCCTTTTGGAACTGTAAAAGGACTTCAAACGGTCTCAGGCACTGACACCAAAGAGCATTTTCTGCAAGTCTTTCCAGCTTGCTTGAAGACACACTTTGCCTGCACAACCCTAATTCTACCCCTTTGTGTTTATTCATTACTCCAATCATTTATGTGGTCAGATGCCATTTTTCAGTCAGACACAATCTTAACTCTCTTCCCTGCGGAGGGTGTCCCTACAATGGAGTCTTTAATTTCAGCATAACATGCTACTTCTCATATCACGTGTGAACTTAGCTGACATTCCCTCACTTTTGAGAGCTTACCCGTATAACCTCAGGCCACAAGCCTGCAGACATCTATTTATGCCCAGGAGAAGTCCAACTGTAATCACGTGCAGATCGTTATGATGTGCATGAGTGTTTACAGGATTGGAGCTTTAACGCCACCTTCGTATCAGTTTTGTATGGGCTCTATACATATGTGAACATTACAGATTATTTGTATTTTTACACACATTTGAGGACTGATTTACTGAACATTCACTGTCAAATCCCGGCCCCAAGTCTATGGGAGTTTTCCCATTGATTCCAATGGGGACAGGATTTCAGCCTATAGTGTTACCTTTGCAGTACACTTTGTACTGTCCCAGCATGTTTGAACTACTTACCCATCTGACTCCAGAGTTTATTTCTCACACCCATCCCTTCCCTTCTACAACAAACGGGTATTCCGGCTAGTGAGAGAGGACATGAGCCTGTAAGACGGAGAGCTCTGAGTGGAGGAGATTAGCAAACAGCTGCTGAGAGCATCTGGGCTCAGGGAGGTGGCCCCTCTTACTCGCTAATGGAATGGAATGAGTCCACTCAAACGCACCAGTCAGCTGACATTGCTGGAGGTTACCTTTCCCCCGTTCTCTCCGCTGCAGTAAGCCCTTGGGTCCCACTGCTTCTCGCCCTGCATGTCTGAACACAGGTCCTCCTCCTCCTCCTCCTCCAAAATATCCGACAGGTCAGAGCTGCGGCTGTGCTCAGCAAGCAGATTCAGCTGCCGTTTTCCTGCTTCTGCTATTTTCTCTTCCTGCTATTGAAAAGAAAAACCTCTGAGGTAGAGCTCAGACCTCTGAGCCAGGCTCACCATGTCAGCAACGTACAAAGCTGCACTTCCCCTTCTGCCTAAGGAGAGCACTCTTAAGTGTGGCAGGAGACGAGAGCAGAACGGGGATAGAGAGCGATTTATGTGGGCAAAAGGAAAAATCATTCAGCGTGTCGTATCCGGGGGGGAAGAACTGGGCTCCTGTACATTGCACAGGACTCTGCATGATTCACTCGCAGCTCTGGGGTTCAAAAACAATGGCCCCTTAGGCAGAAACCCTCCCAGGGTAACACAAACCTCTCGTTTGACTTTGGGCACCATCAGAGAAGAGTCTCCTCGGGAAATTTCTTTCATCAGTTTCTTTCCAGGGGACACGCTTCCATTCCTGTCTGAGTCTCTGCAACTGTCCACACCCAGCTCAGCCTGGTGGGTGGAGAGCTGAGGCTCTGGACTCAAGCATTGCTCATTTGCCTTCCTCTCTCTGTTAATGGTTGACTCTTGCAACCGCTCCTCCACAAAGCATGCGTGGCAGGTCTCCATGGGCATCTTCCCGTCACTGCTTTCTAGCTCCGGTTCTTTGCTCACCGAGAGCTCCTCCTGGAAAAGAAACTGGTTGAGTCAGGAAGCTGAGGCTGCATGATTATTTCTCAGTCCCAGGCCCTGGCTCACACATTCCCTAACTCAGCAGCTTTGCGGAAAAGGGTGATGGAGAAATGCCTTTGCAGCCATCAGGGGTTGTGGGGAGCGAGACACAGACATCCTTGAGCTTGACACTTTGCTGCTACTACAAGTCGGGTACCCTGTCTATAGCCAGTCGTGGTGCAGGAGGCTTCCCTTACCCAGCCCTGCCAAGGCACTCTAGTCATACCCAGCCCTGGCAGTGCAATGCACCCCCATCTTGACTTGCAGCAAAACCTGCTGCTTTAGTCCTGGGCTCCCCACACAGCTCTGCCTGTGCCCCTCCACCCTGCTTGCTGGCCCCCATCTCTTTCCCCTCTATTCCAATCCTTTGCACCCTTCAGTGCAAACTACAGACTGCGACTAAGACAGTGGTGATTTGGGGTGTGAAACATCCATTCATGGTTAAGATGAAAGCAATCCCCCTGGATTAGACCCCTTCAGCCCATGTGGCATGCAAGTGCAGGAGCAGCGTTTAATGTGGCCCCTTTCTGCTTTGCACTGGAAACGCTCCGTGCTGCAGCTGGCACTGCAGCAAGTTCCTTCTAGCTTTTTGTGACTGGGGTTGGCATTACACTGGAGGGACCTCACCCATTGCTAGTGACTGACTGTTTCTGGTTTTAAGATGCAGGTTGACAGCAAAGGCACAAAGTAGACTGGGCTTATGGAAGAGAAGAAACTGGGATCAGCCCATAGGCCAATATTTCGATGGGCACCATCCTGCTAACTACACCTCTCAGCCTGCATCAATGCCGCAGTCTATCCCAAAGGAGAAGCCTAAAGAGTTGTCCTAAGTGTCAAAGAGACTCCTCCACAGTTGTGACTGGCACGACATAGGTTAACAGGCCTCCACTGCCCCGTGCCTGCTGCCTGAATTCCTCAGACCACCAGCCACCATCCCTCACAGAGTGCTCTGCACCCCTGAATGGCTGATTATCACAGCTTGATCAGACCTGTCCCCCCAGGGCCTGTCTACATTGCAGTCAGAGATGGGACTGCGGCATGTGGAGACATACTTTGATCTAGTTAGCAATGACCCCGTGGTAGCCTGGGCAGCAGCGGGGGCTGTACAAGCCCCGCCCAGGACCCTAGGCGTGTGGACTCAAGCAGCCAGCTGCTGCTGCTGCAGCTTCACTCCTATTGTTATTCCATTTAGCTAGACCAAAGCTAGCCTCTGACTGCAGATTCCCCCAGACTAGTGACTTCAGACTGCTTAGTGTTATGGGAACCCCCACTCCTGATCGGCTACCGCCCCTGCAGATGTTTTGCTGGCTGCCTGTACAGACTGCCTCTGTACCCAGCACAGCTCACAGCGACCAATCCCGCAGTGTGCAGAAGCCTGCACTGATAAGAGATGGCTGGATGGCGAATGCCGTACAAACACCATCATCACCACCTATAAGAATAGTGACGATGGTGCCTTTTCCATCACCCCCATGTCCTATCTCCTGCCTCCCGGGTGCAGTTCTCTGATCTGCTGGTGCACATGCAGCTGAGCAATGCGGTTCATTTGTCCCCTCCTGTTCTGTGCACACAGCAAAGCCGGCAATACTCCCCTGTTCTTCTGCCACCAGTGTGAGGCCACACACTCTCAAAGACAGTGTGTCACCTGACAAGGAGAAAAACGGCACTGTGTCATGTCCCTGTACATTCTCTCTGCTCCCCCCGAGGTCTGTTTCCCTTCCCCTTTCCAGTGTCTTAGAATTCATGACCAGCATTCCCAGGCACTCACCGTCCCCTGGGCCTGGATGTCTTCACCAGGGCCCTTCAATGCTGCGGCCCTCGACGGCTCGGGTTCTTCGCCCACTCCTGTAGGCTGCGGAAGGGAAGTCAGACACTGCTCATCACTTGCAGTGTCTGAAACTGGGGATGATGTGCCCAACACTTGCAGCGAGGAAACCCGGGGAGAGGAGAGGCGCAGGTGTGGGGAGATCTTCCCTGGCAGACACTTCACTGAGCTGTCACCGCTGGGAGTGGTGTGGACAGTGAATTTGGCATCTGAACTGTCAGTGGAACACTTCTGTGGAGGGAAGAGCGGAGCTGTGCAGTGTGTAACTGGCATTCGCTTGGGATGAGAGCCCTTGGGTTCCCCACAGATCACTCTGGAAGTAAGACTGGTAGAAACAACAGCCTGTGATAGTGAGGAATGTCTAGAAGCTTTCAGCAAGGCTGAGGGGATCTGGGCTGGCACTGAATCAGCTGATTCTCCATACAGAGACATAGTTCTCACGGAGACCTCCCGGCACACCTGGAACATCTGCAGCTGGGACAGCTCCACTAGGACACTGCCAGCAGTTGGAGATGCAACTTCCATCACCTGCAACAGAGAAACAGGAAGAGTCTCTTTCTTGTGCACAGGTAACAGCTTCCAGTAGCATGTGGAGACATACCTGAGCTAGCTTTGACCTAGTTAGCTCGAGAATCAACAGCAATGACCCCGTGGTAGCCTGGGCCGCAGCGGGGGCTGTAAAGCCTGCCCAGGACCCTAGGTGTGTGGACTCAAGCAGCCAGCGTCCAACCCTACTATCCTTCTATCATTTTTCAAAGCTCCTGGCAGTTGAGTGGTAGCAAGAAACTGCAGCTGTCCAGCCCTTCTGCGGCTGGAGATGAGGCAAGTCACAGCAGACAGAGAAAAGAGAATAGGTCAGCCCAGCAAGAACCCAACTCTCCAACTGTGACTGCAGCCCCACAAAGGACTCCTTGGGCTGCCCCAGGACAAAGGGCAAGTCCCAAAGAAGGGGAGATGGGGTAGATGGCTGTGGGAAGCCCTTGCTGGCAAAACCAGAATTGGCAAAATGCTCTGTTAAAAGCAGCAATGAGAGCCAATGAACCCTCTCCAATTTTAGCACATCCATATGGCAATAGAGGTTGAGATTTTCTCTTTTGCCCAGATTTAGTTACCTTCAATTGCATGAGAAATGTGGATATTTTACAAGCTAGAACTATAATCTCCCCTTTTGCCAGTCCCTCCCCCATCTGAGTCCTCGGAACCAAATGCTGACTCTTCTTGTTTCCTAATACTGGCATCATTCCCAGCCAAGCCAACTGGCTGCTGCTTCCCTCCCTCCCAAGCCCTGACAGGCTTCCAGGCTCCTTGGCTTTGGCCTGGGGAAAGGAAAAGACTTGCCACTGCACACAGCATTCTCCTTTTCCTGTCCGAACGGTTCTGTGCTGTGCACTTTTCCTGGTTGCTGTGTTTCACCCTACAGGGGCCCGGCTACACTGCACAGACCCAGCACAATGAGACTCAGAGCCCGGGTCAACGGACGTGTGGCGCTCATGCTCTGGAGCAGAAAACAGCAGTGTAGTCATTCGGGCTCCTGCTGGGCTCTGAAACCAAGTGAGAGGGGAGGGTTTTGGAGCCTGGGCTCCAGCCCAATCCCGAATGTCTACACTGGTAGTTTTAGCCCTGTAGAGCGAACCCTGCAAGCCCCATTCATTAACCAGGGCTCTGAGGCTCGCTGCCACAGGTTTTCTTGCAATGTAAATGTACTCAAGACGGCTGCGTTTCCCACAGGTACAGTATGTTGCAGGTCAGTTTCAGCTTGTAATGCTCTAAGGGATTCTCTGCAAGCATCTGTACTGGAGTGTGGAGCATTCATACCCCACTCTCCTTTCCTGCTTCTAAGGTAGAGGGTGAGTTCCCTCACCAAGGGCTTGAAATATGCATCTGACGCCTACTAGCACAAAAACCTTTCAGAAGTACCGAAGTGACCTGCATGCTTGAGGGCCAGGTTTCGAAAAGGACTTAGGCACCTAAAGATTTAGACAAGTGCCCAATGGGATTTTTAAAAGAGCCTCTGCAGGTTCGGCGCCTAACCTGCAATCAATGGGAATTAGGAACCTAACCTGCTTAAAGCAACAGAGGGTCCTGTGGCACCTTTAAGACTAACAGAAGTATTGGGAGCATAAGCTTTCGTGGGTAAGAACCTCACTTCTTCAGATGCAAGAACACGGCTACCCCTCTGATACTTAACCGGCTTAGATGGTTTGGAAAATTTGCCTATGTGTAGATAAATCTCTGATAATTTTCATATGACTTTACATTGTGCCTCTTCATATAACCTTGTAGTGGGTCTACCCACGTGTGACCTCTGTTTTCATGAAACTTTGAATGAAAGCCTCATATAGAAACTTTGCATTGAACCTTGGTATAATGTTATAGCCCCTAAGGATAGAGGAAGATAGAAGAAAAATGTCTTTTTGCTAGCAGAAGAACAAGATCTTCCCCCCCACACACACACTCTTAATCAATTGCCCTGTTGAATGAACGAGGTGTGAATGAGTAAAGGCGTGGAAGGCAGCACCTCCAGACAGCTGCAACCCTTGGAGAGGGGATGGAAGCCAGACCCAAGGACAATCACACTTGTCAAATGGGCTCATTAAAGAAGATCAGACATACTGACGGCCTCAGGGGTTAGAAGCAAGCACCTTCTTTTGGAAACACCCTCTTTGCAGCATTGGGACAACACCAGAAGGAAGCAGCACAAAGGACCAATGGACACAGACACAGATTTTGAAGCTGGTACAGATTTGCATGAGAGGGAAGCTGCTATAAAAGTGAGGTGTCTTGCAGAGGACTCCGGGTCTCGTCTTGTCAACATGGGAGCATCGATCCGGATCGGCAGAAGCCCGGCTCCACCCCTCCCCCATCTAACTCACCTGGCCAGTGCAGTTAAGGGGACCAACTAGTTGGTAACAACAAGACGGAGTGTGCTTGTGTGTGTGTGAGTGTGTGAGTGTAATATATATATCCTATGCATGAGATACAGTGTTAATTAACACATGTATTACTAATAAATGTAGCGTTTTGCCTTATTCCCCCTGAAAAGATCCTGTGCAGTACTTTAAGTACAACATTTTGGTGGAGAATTGCGAAAGGGGGAAAGGTTTCTCGAGCATTTATTGAGTAATGAAACAAACTTTGATATTGAGTAATGGAAAAGTATTGAGAAGTATGGAAAAGTGATCACAAACCTTGAAAAGTATTAATAAGTAATCGATTATTAAGGTGTGCACAACCCCGGTGGTAGAAGCCCGGGGAAAGAGAGGAGGAGAAGTAGCTTTCTCACTCCCCCGGTCCGTAGAGTTGTCGGCATTAGAAAGAAGGGAAGAGATGTAGCTTTCTCGCTCCAGGAAAGAGGTATTGGTAAATAAGAGTAAAGAGATAAGCATTGCTGTCCCAATAGGCGGTTGGGCAGAATAGAAAATGTTTAAACGTAAGCAGTCTTTTAAGAAGGCTCCCAGAGAGGAGACTGAGAAATTGGCATTTGTCAAAGCTGTTACCCCTTTTGAACAAATCTTGCAAAAATTCGGACACAGCCCTTGGTCTGACCAAACGTTAGCTGATGTCCACACGAGTTCAGACCTAGAAGGTAAATTGGCTCGGTACACATTGATCTATAAACCCTCAACTCCAATAAAAAAAAGAAGCAGCTGCAGTTTGGCTTCTGTGGAAAACCTGTCCTGAGGAATTCCTTCCATTGGCTGAATGTAAAAATGAAAACAAGAAACTGCACCAAGATTTACAAGCCCCTGATGCAGAAGCAGAGAAATGGTTATGTAGACCCTGAGTCGTGCCGAAGCGGGATTTCCCAACTAGACATTACCCCACGTATGTCACCAGAAGGGTCTAATTGAGCAGGTGTGCTCAGAGCACGGATCAGATCTCACCCAACAGATAACCGGGGACGAGCAGCGCGATAATTTTTCATGGGTGTGTGTCTCCGCCTAGTGGTTAGGAATGAGGGACAACGTCCCCAAGAGAAAGTGAGAGGCCCACCCTGAATAACCAGGGGGTCAGGGCGCGCACCAGTGATGTGGAGACCTCGGTTCTAGTCCTTGTTCCAATGAATAGTGAATTATTGATACAAAGTGGAACAACTTCAACAGGCAAAATTGAGAGCTCCCTGACCCTGAATACCCAATAGCCCAGTGAATAGGGCTTCCCAAGTGATGTAAGAGCCCTAGATTAAAGTCTCCCCTCCACATCAGGCAGAGCAGCTCTCCCAGACCTCCGGGGGCCTGGGCTAGAGGCTACCATGCGGTAGGTTTCTCTCTGGCTTTTCATGAGAAAGGCCTGAGTTTCTCCTGCTAGAGCACAGCTGACCTGGCTGAGATGCCTAACTCCAGGAGAGGGTCACTGCTGAGTCCTGAGCGGAGAGATGCACCTCCCCCTGCTCAACAGCCAGGTGCCTAGAGGCCCTCATCAGTGCTAGTTCGTGCAGCCTTGCAGGAGTCCTAGGCATCACTAGCCGTGTGAACCACAGCAGGCCTGGCCTTGGCAGAATAGCGACACACTGAGTGTCAGCTAACCAGGTAAGCACAGTCTTGACCGGAGAAGACGGTACAAGAACACCCAGAGTTCTCAAATAACTACATAAACACATTTGTAAAAGGTGGTACAGGACCACACCGACCCTGCGTAAAGGTAAGGAGGGGACAACAGATAATGGATGAGGATGTTTTGCTGGTACTAGCAGGTACAAAGAGAAGGGTGGTAGTGTACACGTCTGGAGCGTAACACGTCCCTTGTTATGCTGATTGAGTAAGTACCTTGTCACAAGCATCCATGTGTTAGTGTCCCTGTAGCTCCTATGCATCCGAAGAAGTGAGGTTTTTACTCACGAAAGCTTATGCCCAAATAAATCTGTTAGTCTTTAAGGTGCCACCAGACTCCTTGTTGTTTTTGTAGCTCCTATGGGGCGTTAGGACCCTGCTTTGCTGACGACAAACCCGGCCAAGCACCTTCACCACCGAACCGAGCTTGTGGCCTTTCTTATGGATAACATGGAAGTCTGCTGAATCCGCATGCTGCACGGTCCGCTAGCGCAGCCGAGATAGGCACTCCAAGAACGGCAGCACTAGCTGCATTAACAACTCTTCAGCACGAACAACAGTTAGGTGCCTAAATGCCTCTGCATTTCACTCCTGGTTAGGGTGCTGGCATCTGCGGCTCCCTTCCAGGACCCGTTCTGCTAGGCGCTGTGCAAACTGATACCAAAAAGATGGTTCCTGCTGCACTCTAGCTCTAATACAAGAGACAGACCCCCGAGGGAGCACAAGAAAATAACATCTGGCAACCTGACTGGCAGTGATCTCACAATAGCAGCTGCCCTATCAGCTGTCAAGGTTTCTTTAGGCGTCATGGCAAAGGAGAGTTTTAAGGAGGGATTGGAAAGACGACAGTCAGGTGGCTTTGTGGACGTTCACAGGAAGCTCCCCCATAGGTGAAGGGCAGCCTGGGACAAAGCATGAAGACTGTTATTTGACAATGTAACGAGTGGGTGACAGAGGCTGGCGTTATTGGCAGAGCGGAGGTGCGAGCTGACATCTCAGTAGTGTCTGAGTGACAATAGATAGCCTGGAGATAAGACAGATGGGGAGAATCTGTGAACTGGCTTGAAAGTGAAGCTGAGTAGGTTGTGTTTGACGTGATGGAGAATGAAGGGGAACAGTGGAAGGATGCACAGAAAGGGGTGATGTGCTCAAAATGATGAGCTAGTTACATTCTTTTGGCAGTGGAATTTTGAATGGATATGTGGAGCAAGGTGGCATTTGTCAAGGCCAGAGAAGAGAAGGGTGCATCTGTCAAGACATGAGATGATGAGACTCAGAATGAGGTCTTTAGCTGCGTGAATGGAGAGGAAAGACCAGACCTTAGAGATGTTAGACTGAAGACTGACAAGATTTAGACAAAGCATAAATTGAGGCCCTAGCAAGAGAGCCGAGTCAAAGATGGCACCCAAGTTATGAGCCTGAGTGACAGGGAAGATGGTGGTGGTGTCCTTGGCAATGAAGAAAGGAGAGAAGGGGGAAGATTTTGGGGGAAAGATGAAGAACTCGGCGTTGGCCTTAATCTGGCATCTGAACATTCACCAGGAGATGCCAGAGGCAGGCCCAGATTTGGCCTGGACTCAAGAAGTCAGGTCTGAGGCAGAAAGTTCCTCCTGGCTGCTATTTGGCAGTGGCAGGATCTTCAATACTCCATTCTCTACCAGGCTGCTACAATGCGTTGTGGGCATCTCCACTACTCTGTTAATCCCTCCTCTATAGACAACAGTGCTGGCATCCACCTCCACTTCCCAAACAGCAAGCAAGTGACAGTTATCCCAGCTCTGTCAGCTTCACTGCTGCTGATACGGTTCTGAATAGCAGCAATGAAGCTGAGAAGACTCTGGTCAGTGTTCTGTCTGTTGCAGCTGAACAGAGCTTTGAGCAGCACTGGAGGTACTAGGGTGGTCTCCTGCACTTTGCCAGCACTCAGGTCATTCTTCAGCAGGATTTCTACTCAACAATGAAGACTACAAACTTAAATCATTAAACAAAAGCTGAGATCCTAAAGGAGTTGATGGACCTCTCTCTGGAACACGTGCTGCCCATCATGGGCAAGTAGGTCAGTGGATTCTGCAAGGCCTGCCTTAAACTTTTCTGGGTCCAAGAGGCCTTCCAGCTCATTTATCACTGCTGTTTGCATTCTCTCTAATTATTGCAGTCTTTTTAAAGGGAGATGCCACGTGATTCCAACAGACCACTCTCTGGTATGAGGTACCAACTCCAGGCTGCTGTGCGGAGCGTAGTGCTGAAGGAATAGGATACAGAAATTGTACATATGAAGGGTAAGGAAACTGCAGTGGCATAGTCCAGGCTATGGGGTTCCGAACCAACACAGACACAGTAGTCAGTGGCTAGCCCTATTGTGTCAATGTAAGGGATGAGATGTGATCCGGGACCCTTTTGGGACAAACTAGCAGAGGGCATGGGGGGTATAGAGATTTACAGGGATCCGCTGGGTCCGATATATGCATAATAATTCACTAAAGGGTGCGATGTGAGGTCTCTCCCGAGGGCTAGTAGCCTACTGGACATCACAATCACTGCACAATGTATGTACGGATAGTATTTAAGGAGCTATGTGTCCAGACTGAGAGCAGAAAGCAGGATGCCACCCATGATCCTGCGAGCAGTGTGGCCACTGCCTCTGCCCTTGTTACAAAGCTCTTTATTCCCCCATCACAAACCGGGCATTCTACTCTGGAGCCAGATCAGATGCTCAATTTGGGAGGGCAGTACTGCAATCCCCATTTGAGTGAGCACTCCTCAGTCCACCTCCTGGAGTGTGACGCTGCTAGTTAATCTCCTGCAGTAGAGACTTGCAGAGGGAAGTAAATGGAGTTCTCTGAATGCATTGCCTCTGTAGATCCACCTGACCCCCTTCCGCCTTTTTAACTTGGAGGTCCTTAAATGATGCTTTGAGACAGAGAAAGGCGGAGTACCAAGTACCAAGGCAGGATTGTGGATGCTCATAACTTAGGCAGGCACAAGCTCCCCTAACAGAGTTACTATGAAGTTGCCTAGCAAGACACAGGATGTGACTCCCACAAAGTGCATTGATTTTGATGACAATTGGAACGCCCAAACACCAGGAAACCTGATCTCCATACAGTGCTCTGTTAGTGCTGCAGGCAGAGGAGCATTGTGATATCAGAGGTAACTCAGCCAGTCATTACTCACTCGCTCCAGTTTATTTGCATATTTCAATCTCATTGGTTGAAAAGAGTCAGCCAATGAAACTGCAGATCAGGACTGAGGTGTATTGTCAGCATTGGGGGTGCAGGGGCTCAGGAGTGGAATAGCAGATCCGTGGTAAATAAGCACCCCGACTTTCACAATAAGCCAAAAATCAAGCTAATCCCATTTCAAATTTCTGCGTTTTTCCGCACATTTGGCATGTCTGATCCGGAGCCATATTGGCTGAGTACGAGTGAGGCTGGAGATTTGCATGGTGCCTCCCCCCACGCTATGCCCATTTACCTTCACCCAGTCAAAACTGTTTTTCTTCATCTAAACAGTTCCTTCCCCGGCAGCACCAACTGGGCAATGGCAAGGGGCGAGATGGCCAAGGCTGGCAGCAGGGTTACTGGAGGGAGGGAGTGATGACTGGCTGAGCTACCGCTGACATTCTGCTCTGGCTCCTCTGCCTGCAGAGCCACATGGGCCCTGTCAAGAGGAAGTTGTTGATATGAAAGTGATAAACCAACACCGAGAAGAAGAGGACTTAACAGACAAATGTAGGGTTAGTGACAGTATTCTGTCAAACTGCTACAGGTTCTGGGATAGAGCTGCCGTTCCTGACCCTCCCTCCCCAACCAGCTCAGCCTGTCTAGGGAACAGAGTGGGTGACACGCTAGTTATGCAACCTTACCTGGAAGACGAGCTCCCCCCCCCCCAGTGGAATTAACCCACTTGACAAACAAGGAAAGGGAGGCACAGAGAGGGACGTGACTTGCCATAGGGTGCACAGAGAGCCAGTTGCAGAGAACTCCATTTCCCAGCACTGCACGCACTCCCTCAGTCCATGCTGTCTGGAGTAGCTACTCGATTCCCTGCACAATTCTAAGCTGGGAGAGCTAACAGTGCCTGAATAGTGCAAGTTCTTATTTCCGTTGGTCCTAATATTCAAAAATAGCTCGGCGGACATTATTCCATTTCTCCAGGACATCCTATTCACCCAGGACACCACGTGCTGAGCATCAACCCAAAGTTCTCAATCTGTTCAAAGACAACCCATGCCTGCCGATAGAGGTGGGGCAGAGTGAGGGCAGCCAGCTTCAGCAGTGTTACTGAGCATGCTCAGTGCAAGCCAAGTGTGAAGGGGCAGCTGCCCCCCACTGGCAGAAAAGGGGTTAAAAGCAGCCCTAGGGAGGCTGCGCCGGAGCAGCCAATCAGAGAAGGTCTGAAAGGAGCAGCCAATCAGGCCCATATAAAAAGGCAGCTGCAGGGCAGAAGAAGGCAGTTCTCTGCTTGGAGCCCAGGGAGGAAGGACTGTCTCTCTGGAGAGCTGAGAGAACTGCCAGCACCCTGGACAGAGCACTGCTGCAAGCAGGGACCGGAGAAGCCAGAGAGAGCTCCTGGCTGGCTGCTAGGGCCTGCAGGCTGAGGCCCTGAGGTAAGGGCAGAAGAGGGTGCTGGAGACGCATGGGAAGCGGCCTCAGGACATTGGACTGCAGTTGCCACTGAGGGAAGTGGCTGGACAGAGATTGCAGGCCCCCCAAAATGCAGGGAGGACAATGTGTGGCAAGGCAGGAGGGCAGTGTTGCTGAAGAGGACACTGGAGAGACATGGGTCCTAGAGCAGGAGTGACAGCAGTGAGGCACCACCAGAAGAGGGCGCACTACTACACAGAGCTAATTCCCAAGACAACCAACAGGAGGCGCCAGAATGGTGAGCGCACTCCATCACACCAAACAGCAAATCAGGAGGGGGGATGTCGCCTCTGAATCTGTTGTCATGGATGTGTCTGAAAACGCCAAATGTGTAAATGTGTAATTTCAGCTAACTAGCTATTCCCTGCGTGCACCGTACTGAATGATGTCCTTATAGAATGTCTTTTTGCAGCTGACGTTTCAGCCCTAAGCTCTTTGGAGCAGAGACCTTGTCTTCCTTCGTGTTTGCACATCACTAACATGACAGGGACTCCCTCACTTCTGATGGGGGGCACCTGAGCACCACTGCAACAGCAAATTAATTGGCTCCATATGGTTCAGTGACTTCACTGAACCATATGGAGCCTCTACAATAACATACCCACTCTCCACTTCAATATCCCCATCCCACATCCCTCTGCACCCCAGTATCCAGCCTGTGACTGCATGTATATTACCTTCTGTCCATCGGCATACACGGCATAACCGGTAACTCGGACCCCATTCGATGAGCCTTCTGCATCAATGGTGACAGGTAGCCAACTGATAACCAGAATGCCTGCTGAGGGGCCAGGCTCTGCTTGGACATCAAGTGGTGCATCAGGAGTTCCTAGGAGAGATCAGTGAGATTTTCCCTTGTATTTGTCATGACAGTGGCATAATTGCCAAACAAAATCCAAGTAAGTAGTAGAAGGAAGGAAGTGAAGCTCTCTCACCCGAAAGCTACAGGAGCAGAAATCACTCGAGCGGTTCATCTCCAGACTTGGGGAAAACAGACCGAATCAGAGCAGTGAAAATGCAATGCTTTTGCTTTGTGAATTTCCCCATGTGGAAATCAGGCTTTTGCAAATGTAGATGAGGGTGAAGTGAAGTGATTCCTGCAGCATGGTGCGTGTATTAATGATGATACATGTCACCTCTCCCCCAGGAAGGCACACTACACACTTCAGTGAAGGTGGACATTTGCTATTTTCACTCAGCAACTTGCAGCAAGAAGAGTTTCTTGTAAAACTAAAACAAGAAAATGTTAAAACCAAATGACAAACCAGCTTAGGCCTGTCTACACTTGGAGCTGGGGCTCTGACATACTCGGGCTAGCTCTCATAAAGCTAGGGTGCCAAAAACAGAGAGTAGCTGCATCAGCATGAGCTGTGGGAAGGGCTAGCCACCCTCGGTCCATAGTTAGTGTCTCTGATGGGCAGGCACTTGGGGTGGTTAGCCCTCCCACTGCTCCCGCTACAGGCTGGTTTTAGCAGTTTAACTCAAGGAGAGCTACTGAGGCTATGTCTTCTCAAACTGGGAATCCCAGCCCCAGCTCCAAGTGGTACTCTTTGGAAATCAGAGAAACCACCTAGTAAAACTGTCCCTCTCTGTCCCCAGTACCTGCTAAGGGAGTAGTGAAGTGTATCGCTGCTGATTTCTGCTCACGCCTCTCCTGGGGCAACTCCCAGAGCACCCTGGGGGGCCGGGCCTCCACCTTGGCAACGTACTGAGTGCTAGGGTGCAGGCTGTGGAAAGTGTACCAGTAGACACCTGGCTTTGTGGTATCACACTCTTCCTCATTGAGGTACACTGCATGAACGTAGTTGCTGTTGCATGGTAGCCAGGTAACCTCTGCTGAGGTCGCTGTCATGCTTCTGATTTTCAGCAGCGTTGGTGCTATGCAGAAATCTTGCCCTACACAGAAAGTGCACCGCAGTTTATCGGAGCTTCCTTGCTCTGTCACACTTTGCACGGAGATGCGATAGGCTTTCAGCTCCAAGTCCAGCTTCTCGATCACAGCTTTAGTTTGAGAGCCACTCTTCACATTCTGGCATAACTCTGCATCCACATAGACGTTATAGCTCTGTATGTCTGTACTGCCAGCTGGCAAAAGTGGTGGCTCCCAGCCTACAACTATGCTGCTGCTGAGCTCTTTGATCACAGTCAGCTTTCTCGGGTAAGGCACTGCTGTGTGATTGACAGGCTCCTCCTGGTCTTCTGGTCTACTAGGCAATGGACTGACACTGGCCTCGTCAGCAGAGTGATCACTTCTCTCTCCACTGCTAGTGCTTGCACCGACAAAGCTCCTCTCGCGGCACGAGCTCTGGGTGAGATCATTTACCTCTGGAGGCAGAAAGGTCATGAGGTCATCATCTGAAACTCGTTCAACAAAATTGGAGGGGACCAGCCCTCTCCTGCCATCCATTAGCTCCCCTAGATGAGAAACAGGAAACCCGTTATCACCACACCTGCCCTTCAGACTCCAAACCTGGCAGTGGTAGAGAGAAAAGGGAGCAGCATCCCTGGCCAATCACTATCCCAACGTAATCAGAAGAGAGAAGCCCTGTCAGGCCCCAGCGAGCACAGCACTCTGCCGGGAAAGGACTGCCCTCCATTTCCTCGCACTTTGTCCCATCTGGTTCTAAATGTCCCACAGGATGGGGTCTCCACTACTTCCCTTGGCCAGTATTTCACAGCCTAGGAACTAGGAAGGATTTCTAGATAGTTAGACTAAGCTTCCTTTCCTTTTATGTCATCTAGTCACATTCCTTTTACTACCTTAAACCATCTTCTCCAGCCTTTCCAATCCAATATCTATATCAGTTGGGGCATGGGGTGGAATCTTTGTATAAGAGGATTTGTACAAGTACCCAAAACAAGAGTTCATGGCCTGGGGCAGTGCAGAAGGAGAAAAAACAGTTACTAACCTTCCAATGTAGGTGTGCGCACGCCGTGTGCACTGTCGCCGGAAATTTTTCCTCCCAGTGGTATCCATCAGGTCATCTCTGGGGCTCCCTTGAGTGACGCCTACATGGCGCAGTATATAGGAACCTACCACCCCCTCAGTTCTTTCTTGACAGCAACTCCAACAGAGGAGTAGGACGATGGGTTTGGGAATGGACATGAGCAACACATCTCAAAGAACAATAGTTACGGAAAAGTTAGTAACCGTCTTTTCTTCTTGGAGTGTTTGCTCATGTCCATTCCAATGTAGGTGATTCCCAAGCAATTGGTCAGGTGGTGGGATCAGAGTTTCACTGACAAGCAGACTAGCACCGCTTGACCAAAGCCTGCATCATCTCTAGCCTGCTGAGTGATGGCGTAGCGTGAGGTAAACTTGTGGATCAGCAACCAGGTCGCATTCTTTAGATGTCCTGGATTGGGAGGTGTAGGCCTCCTCCTGTAGTTCTAATTCCTCCTGTGACTATAATCTTGCCTCTACTGAGGATGCTGTGGAGGATAGAGATGGCCCATAGGTTGGGGTGCATAGTGTTTCCGAGCCGGGGCTGGGGTTTTTAAAGTAGCCCTTGAGTCCTTTAGACTATGGAGCTTAGCATCAGTCTGCTCCAAGAAAAGGGAGTTCCCTTCAAAGGATAGGTACTGAATAGTCTGTTGGACTTCATAGGATAGTCCTGAGGACTGAAGCCAGGAGTTCCGCCTCATGACCACTGCTGAGGCCATGAATCAGGCTGCCAAGTCCACCATGCCCAAGGCAGTTTGGAGGGATGCTTTGACCACCACCTTACCCTCCTCTACGAGGGCCAAGAATTTAGTCCTGGACTCCGAAGGTAAGAGTTCCTTAAATTTTGTCATGGCTGACCACAAATTAAAATCATAGTGGCCCAAGAGGGCTTGATGGTTGGCTATTCTCAGCTAGAGGCGCCGCGTTGAGTATACCTTCCTGCCCAGTAAGTCTAGTTTCTTGGCTTCTTTCGCCTTGGACAATGGCCCTTATTGCCCGTTTCTCCCTTTCATTAGCTGACAGGACAACCAGCGAGCCCGGTGGAGGGTGAGTAAACAGGTCCTCATATCCCATGGGGTGCACAAAATATTTCCTTTCCATCCACTTAGCTGTGGGGTGGAGGGAAGCAGGAGTCTGCCACAGAGTCTTTACGGGCTGCAAGATGTCATCATTTAAAGGCAGATGGGGAAGGCGGAGGTGCTCTCACCTCCAATGGTGCCAAGAGCATCTGGAGTGGAAACCTTATAGAGTCATAGATTCTAGGACTGGAAGGGACCTCGAGAGGTCATCGAGTCCAGTCCCCTGCCCTCATGGCAGGACCAAATACTGTCTAGACCATCCCTGATAGACATTTATCTAACCTACTCTTAAATATCTCCAGAGATGGAGATTCCACAACCTCCCTAGGCAATTTATTCCAGTGTTTAACCACCCTGACAGTTAGGAACTTTTTCCTACTGTCCAAGCTAAACCTCCCTTGCTGCAGTTTAAGCCCATTGCTTCTTGTTCTATCCTCCTTGGAACGGATGGATCACCCAAGGGTACCACATTGGCATTTGCCATTGTGTCAATGACCATGCTATCAGTACGTGTCCTTGTGCCATAGCTGCCAGGTGTCTATGGTCAGCTTGGTACCTGCTCCTCCGGGAGGTGTATGAGTCTGCCTCCAATTCAGAGCCCAAGGACCCACTCCTGGGTGATCACGGTGGAGCATGCTGCGATGGGGACCGGTGCCATGATGGAGAGCAGTGCTGCGATAAAGAGCAGTGCAGTGAGGGAGAGCTCAATGGATGGTGGTGCTGCACCATCATTGCTGGCTTTCCCTCTACTAGCACTTGCTTTGATGCTGAAGCATCCCGCAGTGCTGGAGCTGTCATCAACAGTCCACAACCTGCAGAGGATGGTGGTACTGGGAGAGCAAGGAGGCTCCTGGCCGCCTCAAAAGCCTCCACGTCAATTGTAAAGCCAGGGCTGTATCCCATTGGTGGCTCTCTCTAGGCGGGGAGTCCACCAGTACCAAACTCGATGGTCCCCTTCCCATGGCCAGAGTCAATGGTGCTGCATGGTCCGTGGGCACCTCAGAGTGACCCGGCACAGGTCACACTCTTTCAGTGGCCTTATGTCTTGGGGTCAGAGAGCGCCCCTGGTCCGACTTCTTCTGTCTCTTTCTCAGCACTGGCAATGGGGAGCAGTGCCGGGAGGCCGGAGTTGGCGCTGACTTCTTGCACACCAGAGAACCGTGGCGGTACTGGGGAGCAGAGTCTTTCATTGGCGCCGGGGATGCAGGGTCACAGTACCTCTCTCAGGGAGGCCGGGGCACTACTGACCGATACCAAGGTACTCGGTGCCGATTCCACCTGTGGGTCTGAGGAGGGACGAAGTGTTACCTCCATGAGGAGGAATCTAAGTCTATTGTCCCTCTCCTTTTTTGTCCTCGGCTTAAAAGTTCTTACAGATCTGGCACCGAACTTGCACGTGGCCCTCTCCCAGGCACTTCAGACAACTATCATGCAGATCATTCGCCGGCATCGGTTTGTGGCACCGCACACTGTTTGAAACCCTGAGACCAAGGCATACCCCAGGAGCCCACGCTGGGCTAGCCCCACAGGGCGGGAAGCACTTCTAACTACACTAGGCTACTTGACTACGTGCTAACTAATTCTAATTCTAACTATTTACAATCTATTTACAGAACAAAAGTCTACTGAGGAGTAGCACCTCCAGAGGCGATAAGAAGGAACCGAGGGGGCGGCGGGGTGGCAGGTTCCTATATACCATGCCATGAAGGTGCCAATCCAGGGGGCACAAGAGCTGACCCGATGGATACCACTGGGGGAAAATCTTTCCAGCGATGGTGCACACGGCGCGTGCACACTAACAGTGGAATGGACGTGAGCTAGCACTCGAAGAAGAATTAACTGAATCACTTATTCCCTTAACATTGAAAAATTCATTCAAATTGGCTTGCATGAATATACTGAGGATATAAATCTGTCTAAAACAAAGGGCAAATGTAAACAACATATTGACATGGAGGGGTCTAGTAGGAGCCACAATCATCAGTGTTCGCATCACTCTTTGGTCTGATCTAGAAGAGGGAGCTCTCAGAACCTGGATGAAACACACACAAATAAGGATAAAGGACACTTTAAAATGGAAATACATTTTGTTTTGAGTCGACCAAAAATGTTTTGGTCGAAAAGAATCAAAAACATGAAAAATAATTTCTAGTCAACTCAATTCAAAACAATTTTTTTGAGTTTTCAATTCAATAAAAAAAATTTTTTAATGTTGTTTTGGTTCAAATCCAACCAGCTTTTTCTGGATGCTTTGATTCAGCCCCTGAACTGAAACATCTAGTAGTTGCTCAGCTCTATTCCTGAGTGCACAGAGAACACCAAACACCACCGGTGGGAGGAGGGGGGCAGCTATGTCCCCTATGCAACACACCAGGGCTGTAACGAGTGTATTGGGAGCTATTTGCCCAGGATAAATGCAAGGCAATGTCTTAAACCCTTGGCACCAGTGGTTGCATCATGGCATTACCAGCTATCGACTCTTTGAGAGAAAAGTGTGATGCCTACAGCTAAGGAGTCAGAAAGAGTTCAGGTAAAACACTTTCGGTGAAGTCCAGGCTCCAATGAAGCTAATGGCAAAACTCCAATTAACTTTAGTGAGGCCAGGATGTCACCCTCGGGTCTTAAGTCAACCCATAGACTCATAGACTTTAAGGTCAGAAGGGACCATTATGATCATCTAGTCTGACCTCCCGCATGATGCAGGCCACAAAAGCTGGCCCACCCACTCCTGGAATAATTCTCTCCCTTGACTCAGATGTTGAAGTCCCCAAATCGTGATTTAAAGACTTCAAGTCACAGAGAATCCTCCAGCCAGCGACCCCTGCCCCATGCTGTGGAGGAAGGCGAAAAACCTCCAGGGCCTCTGCCAATCTACCCTGGAGGAAAATTCCTTCCCGACCCCAAATATGGCGATCAGCTTAACCCCGAGCATGTGGGCAAGATTCTCCAGCCAGACCCTCCGGAAAAAGTTCACTGTAGTAACTTTTAATATCCCATCATTGACCATTGTTACTAATTACCAACTATGGCACGTTATTGATCTATTGACTAAAATCACGTTATCCCATCAAACCATCCCCTCCATAAACTTATCAAGCTTAATCTTAAAGCCAGAAAGGTCTTTCGCCCCCACTGTTTCCCTCGGAAGGCTGTTCCAGAACTTCACCCCTCTGATGGTTAGAAACCTTCGTCTAATTTCAAGCCTAAACTTCCCGACGGCCAGTTTATATCCATTTGTTCTCGTGTCCACATTAGTACTGAGCTGAAATAATTCCTCTCCCTCTCTGGTATTTATCCCTCTGATATACTTAAAGAGAGCAATCATATCCCCCCTCAGCCTTCTTTTGGTTAAGGTAAACAAACCGAGCTCCTCGAGTCTCCTTTCACACGACAGGTTTTCCATTCCCTGGTGTAAGTAAATGCATTCCCCATTAAGTCATGAGAGCTGCACTCGCTTATGCTGCTGCCCACTTTGACCTTATAATCTTTTGTTTCCTTATAACTGTACAAATCATTAAGTTCCTCTCTGTTCTTTCATGATGCCAGGTTCATACACTTCTCAGTCACGTCTCGTTCCATCAAACCCACCTTCAAAGAAGCCATCCTCGTCCATGTCCCCATAGATGTAAATATATTCTCCAGCAGTCAGTGGGAGCTCTGACTCCGGGTTCTCATTAGGACCATCAAAAGGATTATAGCTGAAACACATGCAACAATAAAATGTACTTTGTACAGCAACTTGCATTGGTCACACTAGATCAGCTCACTGGTCCACTGAGGCTGGTATCCTGCCTCTGGGCGTAGCTAGTGCTTCCGAGGAAGGCCAAAGCATAGCTGCTTCCTGGATCCTTGAACCCAAATTTTTTGAGTCCATTGGCTACCTCCTGGCCCAGGGCTCAGATCCCGTGGTACACATTGGATCCATTCATGGTGAGCAAGTAATTGTCCCAGGCCATTTGCAACTAAGAGTATTTTTTGTCTTTAAAACTGTACTTGCATATCCTTAACAGTAAACGGGTACATATGCTTGCCCATAACTGCCTTGGGTGTCAGAATTAACGTTTCACAATCATTATCAGAGCTGACCAGAAAATGGTGATTTATTCTGTGGAAATTTTTGAATTTTTGCTGAAAAAAATTGAAACCGAAACTTCAGCCAAAACCAGAATATTTTTGGTCAAAAACTGGAAGTTTTAGTTTTCCAGCTACACACTGTTCAGCTTTTAGGTTTATGTTTTTTTGATGAAAATGTGACATTTTCCCCAGAAAGAAGGCACTTTCACACAAAAATATGCATAACCAAAAACCCAATTTTCATAAACAAAACAGTTTCAAAGGAAAATTTTCAGCCAGCCCTACTGGTTATACAACTTGTGAGTTTGCAACAGTTATTTTTGTTTGTATAGATCCTTAGCAAGACAGGTATTCCCAAACTGTATCAGAGGCATGCTCCATCTACTCCAGTATCTCGTCTCCAACAGTGGATAGTGCTAGATGCTCATAACAAGGAGCAAAAACCCCAGAGTGGACAATTATGGGATAGCCTGATCCACAGATCAACCCTGTAGCCAAAAATCCCCTCGATTCTTCCTTCCCTGTGTGTGTAGTTCAGTACCTGTAACGAGCTAGGAAGACTTGGAGGTTTGCAGGGCCCTGGCTCCCTGACTCTGGAATCAAAGAGATGCTATCAACATCCAGTTCTTCCATTTCACTTGCAGTGTCCACCTAAGAAACACAAAAATAAGGCGAGAGAAGCTACAGCTCTGACTAAAGGAACAGTGGCAGAAAGATCACAGCAGCAGTGCAGCAACAGAAATCTTATTTCTGAGCTGGTGTGTACAGTTTGATTACACCGGGACTATACTACACATAGAAACAGAGAACGGTTAAACTATCTGTAGGAACTGTTCTGGGGAGCTAGACTTGGTAACAGATGCACATTCTTGGCTCCAGGACATAAAAATACACCTAGTGGTCAGAGGACTAAATCTACAGGCCAAGGTAGATATGAAAGAAGAGGTGATAGAGGACTTCTAGAGAGGTCAGGAGGCAGGTTCCTGGTAAGAAGCCTGAAACCTCTGCCATCCCCAGCAGCTGGGAAAGTGCCACCCCTGGACCCTGCTCCATCTTTTGTAGCCACCTCTGTATATTAAGGGTGAAATCCTGGCCCTATTTAAGTGTATAGGAGTTTTGCCACTGTCTTCACCTATTGAGCATCTTATGTCCGCCCACGTCTAAAGGCCCCTCCCCCCAGCCTAAGGGGAGGAGCTACCAAAAGCAGAGCCCAGATGAGTTCAGGTTTCAGAGTAGCAGCCGTGTTAGTCTGTATCCGCAAAAAGAACAGGAGTACTTGTGGCACCTTAGAGACTAACAAATTTATTAGAGCATAAGCTTTCATGGGCTACAACCCACTTCTTCGGATGCATATTGAGTGAAACATATATCGAGGAGATATATATACACACATACAGAGAGCATGAACAGGTGGGAGTTGTCTTACCAACTCTGAGAGGCCAATTAAGTAAGAGGAAAAAAAACTTTTGAAGTGATAATCAAGGTAGCCAAGTACAGACAGTTTGATAAGAAGCAAGTGTGAGAATACTTACAAGGGGAGATAGATTCAATGTTTGTAATGGCTCAGCCATTCCCAATCCCTGTTTAGCCCTGAGTTGATTGTGTCTAGTTTGCATATCAATTCCAGCTCAGCAGTCTCTCGTTGGAGTCTGTTTTTGAAGTTTTTCTGTTTTAAGATAGCCACCCGCAGGTCTGTCATAGAATGGCCAGACAGGTTAAAGTGTTCTCCCACTGGTTTTTGAGTATTATGATTCCTGATGTCAGATTTGTGTCCATTAATTCTTTTGCGTAGAGACTGTCCGGTTTGGCCAATGTACATGGCAGAGGGGCATTGCTGGCACATGATGGCATATATCACATTGGTAGATGTGCAGGTGAACGAGCCCCTGATGGTATGGCTGATGTGATTAGGCCCTATGATGGTGTCACTTGAATAGATATGTGGACAGAGTTGGCATCGGGCTTTGTTACAAGGATAGGTTCCTGGGTCAGTGTTTTTGTTCAGTGATGTGTGGTTGCTGGTGAGTATTTGCTTTAGGTTGGGGGGTTGTCTGTAAGCGAGGACAGGTCTGTCTCCCAAGATCTGTGAGAGTAAAGGATCATCTTTCAGGATAGGTTGTAGATCTCTGATGATGCGCTGGAGAGGTTTTAGTTGGGGGCTGAAGGTGACAGCTAGTGGTGTTCTGTTATTTTCTTTGTTGGCCCTGTCTTGTAGGAGGTGACTTCTGGGTACTCGTCTGGCTCTGTCAATCTGTTTTTTCACTTCAGCAGGTGAATACACAATACCCAAGAACCTATCCTTGTAACAAAGCCCGATGCCAACTCTGTCCACATATCTATTCAAGTGACACCATCATAGGGCCTAATCACATCAGCCATACCATCAGGGGCTCGTTCACCTGCACATCTACCAATGTGATATATGCCATCATGTGCCAGCAATGCCCCTCTGCCATGTACATTGGCCAAACCGGACAGTCTCTACGCAAAAGAATTAATGGACACAAATCTGACATCAGGAATCATAATACTCAAAAACCAGTGGGAGAACACTTTAACCTGTCTGGCCATTCAATGACAGACCTGCGGGTGGCTATCTTACAACAGAAAAACTTCAAAAACAGACTCCAACGAGAGACTGCTGAGCTGGAATTGATATGCAAACTAGACACAATCAACTCAGGGCTAAATAGGGATTGGGAATGGCTGAGCCATTACAAACATTGAATCTATCTCCCCTTGTAAGTATTCTCACACTTGCTTCTTATCAAACTGTCTGTACTTGGCTACCTTGATTATCACTTCAAAAGTTTTTTTTCCTCTTACTTAATTGGCCTCTCAGAGTTGGTAAGACAACTCCCACCTGTTCATGCTCTCTGTATGTGTGTATATATATCTCCTCGATATATGTTTCACTCAATATGCATCCGAAGAAGTGGGTTGTAGCCCACGAAAGCTTATGCTCTAATAAATTTGTTAGTCTCTAAGGTGCCACAAGTACTCCTGTTCTTTTTGCAGATGAGTTCAGGGGACAAATAATGAAAAACAGGGATGGGAGTGAGGTCATATGGTCAAACTCAGGGAGCCAGAGAGGGACGCGGAGCAGAGAACCCCAAACAGTGCCCACTGCTCCTTGAAGGCATCCAGGGAGCCCGTGGATGCAGCCCAGAGGAACTCTGCCCAGACGCGGATCGAAGGGAGGAGCGGAAATAGACCCCACAGTCACAGAGAACCTCCCCATCCAGCATTCTCCTCCTGGTATGGTGGACAGCCACGTTGGCCAGTGCCAGGAGGAGTCTGATGAGGAGGTCTCACAACTTTGTGAGGCCATAGATGGGGTGTGCGTAGATCAGGAGGTGCAGGGAAAAGGGCAGCCCGAACCTGAGGAGAAGGTTCTGGAGGTGCCGGAAAAGGGGCTGCAACCTGGCACACTTGAGGTAGTTGTACACCAGGGCCCCTCTCATGCCGCAGAAAGGGCAGGTGTCAGGGACGGGGTGAACCGCGCTAAGAACACATCCATGCTCACGGCTCCATGAAGAATCTGCCAACTAATATCCCTGGCGGGCCATGGAACCAGGGTGGAATACAGACTGGCCCACTGTTTTCAATTGAGCCAACATCTCACTCTCAGTCTTTTATACCTGTGCAGCCCCCTGCCTGCTGGAAGGGTGGAGGAACTTTCTCTTTTCTTCTCTCCTCTTGAGAATCTCCTGGATGTTGCAAGTGGGGCAGGTCCCGCCTGTTCTACTTCCCCTGGCCTCCTGGAAGCAGTGAGGAGTGGTGGGGAGAGATCTCTAGCACTCTACCCCTGCCCAATCTCCATTTCTTCTCTGTCTGTCTAGATGTTTATCCCACACCCATCATCATAGTCTCTAGGTCTTCCTCACCCATAAATAACTCCTGTGCCTACACCTGGCTTTTGGCGACAAAACAGCGATAGCGTACATACTGCAAGGTCATTTAAAAAAAAAAAAAGCCGCCTAGATTTGGCAACAAAAAACTTCCCCTCCCTTTATTGTCGACAAACAGCCAGTGTAGACACCACTGGTTTTTTTTTTAATTTTACTGGCCTCCAGGAAAGTATCCCACAATTCCCATGCTGCCGCTCTGGTCAGCGGTTTGAACTTCGCTGCCCTGCAGCCAACCCCCCCGTCCCCCTTGCAAGCCCCAGGAATTTTAAATCTCATTTCCTGCTTGCTGGCTTCCCAAAGGAGCTTCCCAGGTGAGCACGGCTGCCTATTGCACCAAACGCGCTCCCGCTTGGACCACCGCTGAGTTGTTCGATCTGATCAATATAGGGGAAGAGGAGTCTGTTCAGTCGCAGCTGCAAGTGACCCGTAGGAATCGGGACACACATGGGCAAATTTCTCGAGGCTTGTGCGAAAAGGGCTGTGATCAGGACACCCAGCAGTGCAGAGCAAAGATCAAGGAGATAAGGCAGACGTACCATAAGGCGCAGGAGGCGAACCATCACTCCAGTGGTGCACCTAAGACCTGCCGCTTCTATAAGGAGCTGAATGCTATCCTCGGTTGTGACCCCACCTCCATCGCCGATTGCCCCGTGGATACTTCACATGCAGCTGAAAGAGGGGATGACCCGGAGGCTGAAATTGTAGGATGAAGAAGTCGAGCTAGAGCTATAAGTAGGGGCATTGCCAGCAGATCAAGGGACATGACCATTCCCCTCTATTCGGCATTGGTGAGGCCTCATCTGGAGTACTGTGTCCAGTTTTGGGCCCCACACTACAAGAAGGATGTGGAAAAATTGGAAAGAGTCCAGCGGAGGGCAACAAAAATGATTAGGGGGCTGGAGCACATGACTTATGAGGAGAGGCTGAGGGAACTGGGCTTGTTTAGTCTGCAGAAGAGAAGAATGAAGGGGAATTTGATAGCTGCTTTCAAGTACCTGAAAGGGGGTTCCAAAGAGGATCTAGACTGTTCTCAGTGGTAGATGACAGAATAAGGAATAATGGTCTCAAGTTGCAGTGGGGGAGGTTTAGGTTGGATATTAGGAAAAACGTTTTCACTAGGAGGGTGGTGAAGCACTGGAATGGGTTACCTAGGGAGGTGGTGGAATCTCCTTCCTTAGAGGTTTTTAAGGTCAGGCTTGACGAAGCCCTGGCTGGGATGATTTAGTTGGGGATTGGTCCTGCTTTGAGCAGGGGGCTGGACTAGATGACCTCCTAAGGTCCCTTCCAACCCTGATATTCTACGATTCTATGATTCTAGAAGAGGATGTGGTGCTCCCAGTGGGGTCGCCCAGTGGGGTAGGCAGCCAGGAACTTTTCTCCACTTCAGAAGTGCTCAACGGGGACCAGGAAGCAGATGAAACTCCAGATAAGTTGCTGTGGCTTGTGTAGGGAATCGAAAAGTGGGAGGCAGGTAGTGTTTTCTGTGAGCTGGACATTGCCCTGTGTAGCTAATCTGCACGGCCAAGCAGGGTGTCGATGGACATCGAGACCTGCAGGGAATCCGCCAGAGAGAGGCTCTGGAAAGTTTCCAAGAGGTACTTGTTAATCCTCTGCCGCAGATTCCAAGGGATTGCAGCCTTGCTAGTTCCCCCATTGTAGGAAACTGTCCCCTGCCATTTAGCAATCGCTGGAGCTGGGACCAAAGCGGCACATAGCTGAGCTGCATATAGACCGGGGTGAAAGCCGCAAGCATTCAGCAGCTGAGCCCTGGTTTCTCTGGTCACCCTCAGCAATGAGATGTCAGCCAGCAGGTTGGCCGCCTGTGAAAAAGTGTGGGATAATTTTAGAATGAGTTCCCTGCAAAGCTGCCCTGCAAGCCGTGACCGTTTTGCCCGTACACACAACTGCCTTCCCCCCACTCCCGAAACTCACCATGACTGGGGTGCTTGCGGAGCTGTGTGCCTGCCTAGAGTCTCAGAGAGAAAGTGATTTCTACCAGCAAAATGCCCTTTTTACTAAAATGTTTCAATCGTTTGCTGGAATGTAACAATCCCTCTTCTGTTCAGCACAGACCTTGCTTCACATACCCTCGCCGACCGGCTGCGGCAGGTAAGAAAAAACCCTAGGCACAGCAAAGACGACATGTTCCGCGAGGTTATACAGCGCGATGAGAGACAGACCAGGGAACACAGAGAGCGCTGGGAAGCCGAAAGGCAGGACAGAAAAGAGAATGCTGCTTTTGCTAGGCAAGCGACGGAGCGGATGATAAAAGTTATGGCGGATCAGACAGAGATGCGCAAGTCATTGATACAGCTGCAGACTGAGCAAATCCGAGTTCGAGCGCCACTGCCGCAGATGCACAATTCTTTGCCAACCCCAACCCCCTCTATGCCCACACTGTCCTTTTCACTTCACAGCACTCCTGAGTTTCCCCATCACTCCACCCCCTCTCACAGCTTGCACAATGATAGCTGGAGCTACACACAGGTGTGAGGTTTTACCCTTTTTAACAATAAATAAAGGTTAAGGTATTTAATAATACAGCGTTTTTATTCTGTGTCCTACAAAAGAGTATAGCAATCAATTCACTCTCGGGACAGGCTTCTAAAGCATTGTGTTGCGTGGATCTTGGGCCCCAAAATTGTACATGGATGCAATAGGGAAGCAATTCCGAAGCAGACATGTGTTACTGCCCCTCATTGTCCAAGTGGTTCCTCAAGGCCTCTCTGATGTTAATAGCAGCCCTCTGAGCTCCTCTGATAGCCCTAGCATCTGGCTGGTCAAACTGTGCAGCCAAGCACTTTGCCTCAGTGCTCCACACCTGAGCAAACATTTCACCCACAGATTATGCAAAGTGCAGCACACAGCTATGACCACAGGAATATTATCCTCGGTAAGGTCTAGCCTGCCTTGAGACGCCTACAGCGAGCTTTCAAACGGCCAAAGGCACATTCGACTACCATGCAGCACCTGCTCAGCCTGTTGTTAAAACGCTCCTTGCTGCTGTCCAGGTGCCCTGTGTAAGGTTACATGAGCCAGGGCTGTAAGGGGTAAGCCGGGTCGCCCAGGATTACTATGGGCATTTCCACATCCCGCACTGTGATCTTGTGGTCTGGAACGGAAGTCCCGCCGGCAGCTTTCTGTACAGGCCACTGTTCCTGAAGATGCGTGCGTCATGCACCTTGCCAGACCTGCCTGCATTGATGTCCGTGAAACGCCCCCGGTGATCCACAAGCACCTGCAACACCACGGAGAAGTATCCCTTCCTACTGATGTATTCAGAGGCAAGGTGGTCTGGCGCTAAAATTGGAATGTGTGTGCCATCAATCGCCCCGCCACAGTTAGGGAAACCTATCTCTGCAAAGCCAGCCACTACGTCATGCACATTTCCCAGAGTCATGGTAGTATGCAGCAGAATGTGATTTATTCCCCTGCACACTTGGAGTAATACAGCCCCAACAGTGGACTTTCCTACTCCAAATTGATTTGCGACTGACTGGTAGCAGCTGGATTCACCAGGTTCCTCACAGCGATTGCAACACGCTTCTCTACCAGAAGGGCAGCTCTCAATCTGGTGTCCTTGCGCCGCAGGTCGGGGGCCAGCTCAGCACATAGCTCCAGGAAGGTTGCTTTACGCATCCTAAAGTTCAGTACCCACTGGTCATCATCCCACACCTGCATGCCAATGCGATCCCACCAACCAGGGCTTGTTTCCCTAGCCCAAAAGCGACGCTCTACCGTATGCAGCTGCTCCGTGAATGCACAAAGCACTGATAAAAGCAACAAAGAGTCCTGTGGCACCTTACAGACTAACAGACGTATAGGAGCATGAGCTTTCGTGGGTGAATACCCACTTCTTCGGATGCATCCGAACAAGTGGGTATTCACCCACAAAAGCTCATGCTCCTATACGTCTGTTAGTCTATAAGGTGCCACAGGACTCTTTGCTGCTTTTACAGATCCAGACTAACACGTCTACCCCTTTGATACAAAGCACTGATAAGTTGCTGCCGTCCATATCACACTCAGGTGCATGCGATTCATCCTCTGCTAACTTTGCGAGTAACTCTGCGAGTAACTGTGCTGCCATGAGTGATGTCCTCACGACAACTAACAGCGCATAGGAGAGAAGTGCGGGATCCATCCTCTCTGACTGCAGATGCTGGCGCACACTACAAAAGAATGAGGTTGGAAAAACGGCGCGAAAGGAAGCCAGAGACCTTTGATGGGGTGGGACACAAAGTGGCGCATGATAGTACATTTTGCACATCCCAGGATGCGCCGCGCTCCGTTTCCGCATTCCCACAACACCGAGCAACAGATGGTGTCGCCAGGCACTGTGGCATACATACCCACAGTCCACTGCTCTCACTGTCGACAAAAGTGCCCCGAATGTGGACACGATCTGTTGACAGAGGGAGCAAATGTAGACACGCTTTGGTGACTTTACTTTTATTGATTTTTCCTTGGCAACATGAGTTTCATTGAAAAAACTTGCCAGTGTAGACAAGCCCTTAGGTCTTCTAAACGCCTAGGGGGATGAGGGGCAATCCCCCCAGACAGGGCAGGAAACGTAAACTACAGTTCTTTTTCTTTTTTTCCCCCCTTTAATCCCAACAGAGTAAAAAAAGGAAAAACTAGCTATTAAGGAGAACAAAAAAAACCCCAAAACAACTACTACTTATGCTAATGATGCAGCTAAGGAAGGGCTGACTGCTTGCTCCTTCTGAGACCAAAGGCGGTTGAGAAGGAACTGGGGTGGGGGGGTCCACCAAGCAGTGTTAGATAGCGTTGAGGCAGACCACAAGGGAGGGACAGGGCATGTGCAGGCTCAATGGACACTGCTACCAAAAATCTCCTATTAGAGGTGCAGGGGCACAGATACACCTAGAGTGGAGCACCCATAGGGACACTACTCGACGAAGCACTGGGCGTTCACTTGTAACTGCTGCCAATAGACTGTTCCCAGCCCTCGGAGAGAAAGCAATGCCCCGGCACTAGCTGTTAGATGGACTGGCTTGCTGGAGATAACACAGTGTAAGGCAGGGAGCTGTGCAGCCTTAAAACCCCGGTCAGCAGGGAGAGAGACACGGTCTCCTCCCAAGAGAGGTGACGGCTGGGAGCCAGAAACCTTAAGTGAGTGCCCTCCGGGGACCATGGAGGGGGAAAGTCAGGTGCAATCACCCTGAAACTGAGATACAGTTCATGCTCGGGGGATCTGGGTTCCAATCCTAGCTATGACTTTGGGTACATCAGCTGATGTGTTTGTGACTCAGTCACCCTGTCAGTACAATGATAGTTGTTCACCTTGTAGGAATGTTGTGAAGATCAAAGTACTAAGAGAGAGAGTCAGCAGGAACCTAGAACTCAGGCTCTCCTGGCTCTTAGCCCTGAACCTACTCTGCTGGCTAAGAGAGGACATCGGAGAGTGGCCATAGCAGCAGAAGAAGCAAGAGGCACTCTCTTACCAGACCTAGATTTTCATGAGCTCCCCTAGTGATCTAATGGAAACATTAAATAAGGGAGGGGACAGGACTGAGCCTCACAGGAATCCATACACGAGACCTACTGGGCAGAGGGAGCAGCTGCCATCACATCTCTGAGATCTGAGAGGAAGGGGAAAGCAAACTCAATATAACCTGTCCGCATCTGCCGTCACCAGCTCAGCAGCCCTTCGTGATCTCCTGCACCAACAGCTGCTAATAAGTCTAACAGCGATGTTTGCACCAGTACGTGCCCCTCTTAGCTCTAGGCCAAGGACAGCAGGGCACAGGCACATGCCTTCATGCTGCTAAACCACTACTACAAGCTGCAGTACCCAGATATCGTGTGGCAACCCAGGGCTGTGAAGTCACAGCAAAGACTATCCAGAACTAAGCACAAATTGAAAACATCCAGGAAACTTGCTATACATTTCCCAGGGCTTTTCTCGGGTTGTCTGCGTTCCTCTCAGACTGCAATGATCTGTACAAATGGCCATCACAGGGTGTTGCCAAGTGAAGAGGGAGCAAATCCCTTCAACAGTTTTCTGCAAGTTTTCTATTATTTTTCCACAGGATTCTCTAGTTCCCAGACACAGGTTTAAGAGGTAGCTGCAAGCAGAGGAAAGCAGAGCTAGTAAACGCATTGATCCCAAGGTGTGCTTATCCCCACCTGGGTAATGACAGGGGACACCAGAAACAGCACTGACCTCTGGAGTGGGGCAGGACTTGGGACTGTTCTGCATGGATTCGGATTTCGAAGAGCTTGACTGGGACTCCAGTCTCTTGACTTGCTTCTGAGATGTGGCAGCAGCACCTGAGCCTGGAATTTTGGTGACACTAGACATGGGATCAGGGATCGGAGATAATGATTCCAGCTCTTTACTCCCTTCATCATGAATCTTCTTAGTGCACTGAAGAGCAGGACGTGCAGGGGCAACATCTGGATCTGAAACCAAACATTCCATTTGTTACTCCAAGCCGCCAGCAGAGCAGAACACGAGCTGCTGTGAGCACCATGGTGCTGCAGTGCGGACACACCCTATAGCCGGGATCTACTCAGAGGCTTAGCTTCGAGCTGTGGAAACACGTTCAGCCCTGTTTCTCCTTGCACCCACACCAAGAGCAGTTACACTCAAGTTACCAGATGGAACTGATATAAGGGAGGGAGGATCAGGCGCTTGACATGCAATACTCAGCCCTGCATGCTGCTGTGGGCCAAATCCTCTCCTTCACGGAGGTCCACCCTGCACAGGAGGTAGGGGAGCTATTAGGGAGCTCGTTAGGGCTTGCTGAACCTGTGGGCTTGTCTGCACCAGCCCCACTGTGAATTAACTTACACCACAGGGATGTTAACAGGCCACTTCACCTTGAATGGTTCCTTAGAACATGTGCTGACTAGTTATGCTAAACAATCTGTTCAACCTTGTGACACTTTCTCAGACTGAAGAAGGGCTCTGTGTAGCTTGAAAGCTTGTCTCTCTCGCCAGCAGAAGGTGGTCCAATAAAAGAGATTACCTCACCCCCTTTGTCTCTCTAGGGCAGTGGTTCTCAACCCATGGCCCGTGGGCCACTTGCAGCCCAATCAGCACACAGCTGCAGCTCATATGACATCCTCAGGGCCATACAGGTAGTAAAAACGGTGACTCACCTTCTCGTAACTGTTGCTCTTCCAGATGTGTTGCTCATGTCCATTCCAATTAGGTGTGCGCGCACCTACATGCACAGTTGTCAGAAGGTTTTTCCCCTAGCAGCACCCGTGGGTCGGCTCTGGAGCCCCCTGGGGTGGCGCCTTCATGGCGGTGTATCTAGGTCCCTGCCGACATGCCGCCTGGTCAGTTCCTTCTTGCCGGCTACTCCGACAGAGGTGAAGGCGGGTGGGTCTTAGACTGGACATGAGCAACACATCTCGAAGAACAACAGTTACGAGAAGGTGAGTAACCGTTTTTCTTCGAGTGCTTGCTCATGTTGATTTCAATTATCTGACTCCCAAGCCCTAACTAGGAGGTGGGGTCGGAGCTCGTGGAATCGCTGATTGAAGCACCACTCTGCTGAATGGAGCATCGTCCCTGGCGTGCTGGGTAATGGCATAATGCGAGGTGAAGGTGTGAACCAAGGATCATGTCACTGCCCTGCAGATCTCCTGGTTCGGGACATGGGCCAGGAACGCTGTCGAGGAGGCCTTCGCTCTAGTTGAATGAGCCTTTAGTGCAGGGGCCGGAACTTTTGCTAGATCGTAGCATGCCCGGATACAGGACGTGATCCACAATGAAATTCTCTGTGACAACACCGGAAGGCCTTTCATTCTAGCCGCAACCGCCACAAACAACTGGTTCGACTTACAGAACGGTTTTGTGCGTTCAATGTAAAAAGCCAGAGCTCTCTGAACATCCAAGGAGTGTAGTCTTGTTCCCAGCCATCCGCATGAGGCTTAGGGTAAAAGACCGGTAGAAAAATGTCCTGATTGGCATGGAATTGGGAGACAACCTTTGGAAGAAAGGCTGGATGAGGCCTAAGTTGTACCTTGTCTGTATAAAAAATGGTATAAGGAGGATCGGAGGTTAGGGCTTTAAGCTCAGAGACTCTCCGTGCTGACGTAATGGCGACTAGGAAAGCCACCTTCAATGATAGGTAGAGCAATAAACAAGTTGCTAGGAGTTCAAACAGGGGCCCAATTAGCCTGGAAAGGACCAGGTTAAGGTCCCACACCGGGATTGGTTGCTTAACCTGCGGGTATAGCCTGTCTAGACCTTTCAGGAAGCAACTGACCATCGGGTTGGCAAAGACTGAAGAGCTGGCCACTCCCAGGTGGAAAGCTGAAATGGCTGCCAGGTGGACCTGGAGAGATGAAACCAAGAGGCCTGCTGGTTTAAGTGTAATAGGTAGTCTAAGATGAGTGGCATAGGCGCCTGCATCGGGAGAGCACAATCCTGAGAACACCAGACTGCAACCATTTTCCACTTGGCCAGGTAGGTAGCCCTGGTGGAGGGTTTCCTGCTGCCCAGCAGAAGCTCCCTAATGGGCTCCAAGCACATCAGCTCCATTGGGTTTAGCCATGAAGCTTCCAAGCGGTGAGGTGACAAGACTCGAGGTCAGGATGATGAAGACGACCGTGGTCTTGGGTGATCAGGTCCGGAAGCAGGGGCAACGAGACTGGAGCGTCCACTGACAGCTCCAGGAGCATGGTATACCAGTGCTGGCGAGGCCAGGCTGGCGCTACCAGTATGACTGTAGTCTTGTCCCTGCAGATCTTGAGCAGAACCTTGTGGATGAGTGAAACGATGGGAACACGTACAACAGATGGTCCGTCCAGGGGAGGAGGAACGCATCTGCGAGGGAGCCAGGACTGTGATTCCGGAAGGAACAGAACTGGGGACATTTTCTGTTGCTCTCCATGGCGAACAGGTCACTTTGGGGAACCCGCATCTTTGGAAAATGTTGTACACCATGTCCAGGCAGCTGGACCACTTGTGATTGTGGAAGGATCTGCTGAGATAGTCCGCCAACTCGTTCTGGGAACCTGGGAGGTAAAATGCTCCCAAGTGAATGGAGTGGGCTATGCAGAAGTCCCAAGGCTTGAAGGCTTCCCGACATAGGGGAGAGGAACGAGCTCCACCCTGCTTGTTTATATAAAACATCACAGTTGTGTTGTCCATCATCACCTCCTCGCATTTCCCTTGCAAGTGGGCCTGGAAGGTCTGGCATGACAGGAGGACCACTCTCAGCTCCTTGACGTTGATGTGGAGTGAGAGCTCTCCTTGTGACCAGAGACCTTGGGTCTGAAGGTCTCCCAGGTGAGCTCCCCATCCCAACACTGTGCATCTGTCACCAGGGATTGAGAGGGATAGGGCTTTGCGAAAAGGACTCCCGTGCATACCATCTGGGGGTTGAGCCACCAGTGGAAAGACTCGAGAACTGGCACCGGGAGGGTGACCACCTTGTCCAGACTGTTGAGCCCTGGCTGATAGGCTGACACCAGCCAGGCCTGGAGAAGTCTGAGCCTCAGTCTCGCATGTATGCCACATACATATGTGCTGCCATGTGGCCGAGGAGTTTCAAGCAGTTCCTTGCTGTGGTGGTGGGGTAACACTTGAAGTTTTCTATGATGTCTGTCATTGTCCGAAACTGAGATTCCAGCAGGGATGCCCTGGCCTGACCTGAGTCCAACACTGCTCCGATAAATTCTATTCTCTGCAGAGGGGATAGAGTTGATTTGCGCTCATTGAGAAGGAGACCCAATCTGTCGAAGGTGTATCTTACCAGGCTGACCTGACCCTCCACTTGCTCCCTGGAGCAGTCCCTGAGCAGCCAGTCATCAAGGTATGGGAATATCTGCACCTGCCTCGGTCATAGGAAGGCGGCGATGACTGCCATGTATTTGGTAAACACTCGAGGGGCTGCTGACAGACCAAAGGGGAGGACCATAAATTGGTAACGGTTGTGGTTGACCACGAACCTGAGCTGGAATTATAGCTATGTGGAAGTACACGTCCTTGGGGTCAAGGGCGGCATACCAGTCTCCCGGATCCAGAGACGGAATGATTGCGTTTAGAGAGACCATAAGGAAGCTCAACTTATTTATGAATTTGTTGAGGCCTCGCAGATCTAGGATGGGTCTGGGGCCCCCTTTGGCTTTGGGGATTAGGAAATAATGGGAATAGAATCGCTTGCCCCTTATCCCTCCTGAGGAACCTCCTCCACTGCTCCTGCAACGAGGAGCATTTGGACCTCCTGCATGGGGAGATGCTCATGAGAAGGGTCCCTGAAGAGGGATCGGAAAGGGGGATGGGAGGGAGGAGAGGAGCAGAATTGGAGAAAATATCCCACTTCTACTATGCAAAAGACCCAGCGGTCTGAAGTTATCTGGGACCAAGCACGGTAAAAGTGGGACAGATGATTCAGGAAACAGGGATAAGGATCCAGTGAATAGACTGGTGCATCGCCCCCAGGCGCACCTTCAAAAGGCCTGCTTAGAGAGCCCGATGCCTGCCTTGCCGAGCCCTGGCCTTGGCTGGGTGGAGGATGGGGAGGCTTAGGCCTGCCATTCCTACTCCGCTTCCTTAAGAAGTCCTGCCTGGGGCGGGGAGGGTAGAAGCACTGTGGGGGCTGAGGTTTAAAATGTTTTCGCTGGGTAGCAGGGGTGTGCAGGCCCAGCAAATTTAATGTAGCCTGCAAATCTTTTAGACTGTGAAGCCTGGAGTCTGTTTGCTCCGTGCCATCAAAAGGCAGGTCCTGAATTGTCTGTTGAACTTCAGGAGGAAGGCCGGACACTTCGAGCCGTGAACTCCTCCTCATGGCTATGCTCAAGGACAAGGTTGGCGTGGCCGAGTCTGCAGCGTCCAGTGAGACCTGTAAAGGTCTGTGTCACTGCCTTGCCCTCATCCACGACGGCCGCAAACTCTGCCCTGGATTCAGATGGGACCAACTCCTTGAATTTCATCATGGAGTTCCATGAGTTGAAATGAGATCTACTCAGGATTGCCTGTTGGTTAGCAACCCTGAGCTGGAGCCCTCCGGTCAAGTAAACTTTCCGTCCGAAGAGGTCCAGCTTTTCTGCGAGCTTCGACGCCAGGGAATGTCGGTGCCGGGGATCTCTATGGCCAGAATCCTTCCTCGACACCGTTTCTCGCACAGAGGCCGGAGCGCTCTGCATGGAGGTGCTTGGTGCCGGATCCTGTCGGCATGGAGCCAGCTGGGGACGAAGAGCTGCTTCCATCAGGATCTACTTCAGCCTGAAGTCCCGTTCTTTTTTAGTCCTTGGGCGGAACGCTTTACAAATCTTGCACCGTTCTGTTTGGTGCACCTCCCCCAGACACTCGAGACAAGAGTTGTGGGGGTCGCCCGTTGGCAAGGGCTTGCGGCAGGTTCCGCAGGGTTAAATCTTTGGGATCGAGGCATGCCCCGAACCTCAAAGGGGAGACAAATTAGGGTGGGAGAAGGACCTCCACTCCTAGAAAACAAACCAACGAAACTAACTTACTCTAAGGAATAACTATTTACAGAGAGCTAAATACAAACAGTAGGGGGAGCACTTGCTAAGGCAAGCAACCACAGCTCCAACGAATGTCACTAGCGGTAAGAAGGAACTGAAGAAGCGGCAGGTTGGCAGGGACCTATATTCACCGCCATGAAGGCGCCAACCCAGGGGACTCCCTGGCCAAAATGACGGGTGCTGCTAGGGGGAAAACCTTCCAAAAACTGTGCACGTGGCGCACACACACCTAATTGGAATCGACATGCGCAAGCACTCAAAGAAGAATATATATTGTGTGGATGCGACCCACATAACACATGGAGAGCAGCATATGTGGCCCACAATGGTAAAGAGGGGGAGAACCACTACACTAGGGACTCTATCTGGCCTACATAAATCAATGTACAGTAGGGGTGGGCAAACTACAGCCCGTGGGCCACATCCGGCCTGCCAGCCATTTTAATCCGGCCCTCGAGCTCTAGCCAGAGAGCAAGGTCTGGGGCTTGCCCTGCTCCCACGCTCCAGCCGGGGAGCAGGGTCGGGGGCCGCTCCACGCACGCGTGCCGCAGCTCCCAGAAACAGCAGCATGTCCCCCTCTGGCTCCTATGCGTAGGGGCAGCCAGGGGGTTCCGCACGCTGCCCCCGCCCCAAGCACTGCCCCCACAGCTCCCATTGGCTGGGAACTGCAGGCAATGGGAGCTGCAGGGGCGGCACCTGCGGACGGGGCAGAGCTGCCTGGCCGTGCCTCCGTATAGTAGCTGGAGGGGGGACATGCCGCTGCTTCCGGGAGCTGCACCCCTGAACCCCTCCTGTGCCCCAAGCCCCTGCCTCAGCCCTGAGCCCCCTCCCACCCTCCGAACCCCTAAGCCCGAGCCCAGAGCCCCCTCCTGCACCCAAGCCCCTCATCCCCAGCCCCACCCCAGAGCCCGCACCCCCAGCCAGAACCCGCACCCCCTCCTGCACCCCAACCCCCAATTTCATGAGCATTCACGGCCCGCCATTCAATTTCCATACCCAGATGTGGCTCCTCTGGGAGCCAAGCTAGTTTCCTTTGCACCAGTAATGCAAGCAAAATTATCACTGACACCAGGACAGTGTTATTGTCTTCTGTTGGTTTGCATGGAACTCAGCACCGCTAGGATGAATTTGCCCCTAGGCACAGGGACAATACAAGGACCGAAGTAAAGCTGGGCAAATTTTTGGCAAATAGTTTATTCGCAGAAAAATGCCGTTTCAGTCAACCCTAAACCAGCTGTGACTTTGTGCAGAGTTTGCTAAACCATTTCCACCCCATCGAAAAATTGAAATGTTTCAATAATGCTGAAACATTCCAGGCTAAGACTTGCAAGGCACACCATCACCTCCTCCCTCACTCTCAGTGAAATGGTGAAACTGAAACAAAAGCTTTCAAATCAGAGCAAACAAAACATTTTGTTAGACCTGACTCAAAATGTTCTTGGACTTTTTCAATTCACTACAAACTTTGAAAAAGTTCATTTTTCATTTGACCCAAAATAAAGCTTTTCTTCGATTTTTTCAATTGCCAGCAACCAAAGAAGATTTTTTGCCCGGCTCAAATTTATGATGCCTTAAGTGTGATTTAAGTGGTGCACAAGTATTGTGAAGATCCTCTGTACAAGGGTGAATTTCATCCCTCACAGAGAGAGTCCACAAGATGCACAGCTGAGGAAATTGCTTTGATGATTGCCTAAAGTGCATAAATTCATAGATTTGCAAGGCCAGAAAGGACCATTATGATAATCTAATTTGACCTCCTGCATGACTCCGGCCAGAAAGTGTCACCCAGAATGCCCACAACTGCTGGCGGAACTAGAAAGTATCCTTGAGAAAGACACCCAAGCTCAATTTAAAGCTCCAAGGGATGGAGAATACACCTCATCCCTTGGTAAGTTGTTTCAATGGATGAGGACAGCATTTGATCAGGGCTTGCACCTGCAATCCTTACAAAGGGCCCAGATGCTCTCCCTCAATCTGCTTGCATGTTACCTTGCATTTAAACACAAATATTATGGAGGCATCATTAGTGGCTCCAGAGCTAAGGCTGTGCTGAAATTTGCATTTATAGAATATCAGGGTTGGAAGGAACCTCAGGAGGTCATTTAGTCCAACCCCCTGCTCAAAGCAGGACCAATCCCCAACTAAATCCCCAAATGGCCCCCTCAAGGATTGAACTCACAACCCTGGGTTTAGCAGGTCAATACTCAAACCACTGAGCTATTCCTCCCCCCCCCCCATTGTTAGCTGTTGCACCCTCCTCCTCCTCCCCAACTAACACCATTTACTGCTGGGCATAGACCTAATTATCTGGGAAATTATTCCAAGCAAATGTTTAGTAGTTTGGGGCTAGGAATTAAAGGCCCCTTTTGTAAATATAAAGTGTCCGTGGAATATTTCCCTCTAACAACTGAAGTGTTAAGTATGTGTAGCTCTAAGTCAGTCTCAGACATATGCTAGTGGGGTTTTAAAAGGAACTAAAGAGATGAGAGAATTATTCCCATTATTGATCCTAATTGGTTCTATTTGCACTCAAGGAAGCCAACAGACAATGTATTAACTCATCCACTTCTGGCAGCAGTTACCCTTCTCCCACTGGCGGCACTGGGACTGAGGGATGGAACAGCAGGGCATGAGCGGGAGCTCAGAAGTCACCAATGTTGAGGTCAGAGGACCAGTCTTTCCTGTCTGTAGCTGGAATCGTTTGAGTTCCTGAGACAAGAGGCTGAACTGTTCGATGTGGCTGCGGCACTGATCCTCCAGATCTCTCACCTGGGCCTGGCAGGGAAGCAAAGCAAAGTGAGGTACAAACACAGGGCTGAACTGGGACAAGGCTCTAATAGCAGCGGTCTTTGCTGTGTCCTTCCATGTAATGGAGCTGGGATATTCAGAGGATGAAAGGATGGAGGTGCCCAGATCCCAGAGATGATCAGTAGAGGGTGGCAGCCCCCAGGCCATAGGCCCTTTGAAAATCCCAGTCCCAACAGACAAGTTTAGGATTGGTTCCACTCTAAACCCACGATAAGCCATCACTGGAAAGCTGCTTTGGGCCTGCAATTTCCCCTGCTCACTCCCATACAGGAGAAAATGTAGGAGGGGCTAGAGGCGAGACAAACAAGGCCCTTTGAGATCGGGGAGATGGGAAGGCTTTTCACATCAAAGTCATATCTCCAAAAGGGACTCCACCAGGCCTAGCTAATCTAGGGAGCCTCCCTGGGACATGAGGCCTCCAGTAGCTTCCCCACCAAACCACTGGGGGCAGGAGCCCTAACATTCCCCTCCTGGGCCAAGTTCATCCACGAGTGAGAGACTCCAGGGAGCAACAGAGCATCAAGGCCTCTGGACTATCCAAGAACCTGCACACGCCCCACTGATGTCACACAACCCGGAATTGTATCAGAGGGGTAGCCGTGTTAGTCTGAATCTGTAAAAAGCAACAGAGGGTCCTGTGGCACCTTTAAGACTAACAGAAGTATTGGGAGCATAAGCTTTCGTGGGTAAGAACCTCACTTCTTCAGATGCAAGAAGTGAGGTTCTTGCATCTGAAGAAGTGAGGTTCTTGCATCTGAAGAAGTGAGGTTCTTGCATCTGAAGAAGTGAGGTTCTTACCCACGAAAGCTTATGCTCCCAATACTTCTGTTAGTCTTAAAGGTGCCACAGGACCCTCTGTTGCTAACCCGGAATTGTTTTCAATGGGGGACTGTGGATTGCAGCAGAAGTAGGAAAGCAGAGGAGGTGATTCTCCAGAGGTAGATGTGGGGGCTACGAGGATCACTTGAGGGTCACCTGCACTCCCCTGGCTTCTGGCCCCAGAGTGCCTCCCCTTCCTGTGCGTCTGCCCCAACGGGTTTAAAAATACACATAACCCATCTCCAACATAACCTACTGCAGCTCCCCCACCCGACTCCCTCAATGCCCCAAGCCCACACAGCTTCCAGGAACCAACCACCACCTGTCCTTTAACACCCCTAACTCCTAACAAACAAACAAAACATACTAGAGCTTGTCAGGAATGTCCCATCTAAATACTTTTCCAACGGAAAATGTAGTTTCCACAAGAAAATCTCCAATTTCCCCAAAATTTTTAATTTTTCAGGTCAGTTCAACACTAATCTGGGTCTGCCTGAGAGGCAGTGGTGCCTCATGGGAGGAGTTGTCGTTTGGGTGCCTTACATCTATTCTTCTCTATGGGCTGGGCCCCTCTGTGGGACTACGTCTCGCATGATTAAGGCTGAAGGCTGCGAGTTTGTCATGGAGGTCATGGAAGTCACAGATTCCGTGACTTTCCATGACCACCGGGAGTCCCGGGCTGTCCTTGCCCCCGCTCCAGCACCAATAGGGATCTGGGCCGTGCACCGCCCTCCCCCCAGCACCCAGGCTGCCCTCCACCAGCACCCGCGGGGCCCCCGGACAGTGCCTCCCCCCAAGTTTTAGTCACAGGTATTTTTAGTAAAAGTCATGGACAGGCCACGGGCCAGGAGTTTTTGTTCACCGCCCGTGACCTGTCTGTGACTAAAGCGTAGCCTTACGCATGATGCACTACAGTCTCCCCTCTGAACATTTAGTTTAAATCAGAAACATCAAAATGAAAAATTTTGAATCAACATTTTTCAAAGCTTTCCATTCCGTGAACATTTTTGATATGTCAAACTTTCGTCACACTTTGGAACGAAAACTACTGGAATTTTCTGTAGAAAAGAAATTCTGATTTTTGACCAACTCTAAAAATGATACATTTGAATCTCTTGTCCTTTTCAGATGAGCACAAGACCTTTCCATTCAGTTTCTTAACAACTAACAAAATCATCCAAAGCACAGGACTTGGTGGTGATGGGGGACTTCAACTACCCAGACATCTGTTGGGAAAACAACACAGCTGGGCACAGATTATCGAACAAGTTCTTGGAATGTACTGGAGACAAGTTTTTATTTCAGAAGGTGGAGAAACCTACTGGGGGGAGGCTGTTCTAGATTTGATTTTGACAAATAGGGAGGAACTGGTTAAGAATTTAGAAGTGGAAGGCAGCTTGGGTGAAAGTGATCATGAAATGATAGAATTCATGATTCTAAGGAATGGTAGGAGGGAAAACAGCAAAATAAAAACAATGGATTTCAAGAAGGCAGACTTTAGCAAACTCAGGAAGTTGATAGGTAGGCTCCCATGGGAAGCAAGTATAAATAAATAAATAGAGATATCCTATCTCCTAGAACTGGAAGGGACCTTGAAAGGTCATTGAGTCCAGCCCCCTGCCTTCACTAGCAGGACCAAGTACTGATTTTTGCCCCAGATCCCTCTAAGTGGCCCCCTCAAGGATTGAACTCACAACCCTGGGTTTAGCAAGCCAATGCTCAAACCACTGAGCTATCCCTTTTTAAGAGGAAAAACAATTGAAGACAGTTGGCAGTTTTTCAGAGACACATTATTAAGGGCACAAGAGCAAACTATCCCACAGTGAAGGAAAGATAGGCAGTATGATAAGAGACCACCCTGGCTTAACCAGGAGATCTTCAATGATCTAAAACCCATTGGACGTCTAACATAGTGAATGCCAGTGAAAATGAGAAACAATCGAGTCTAAAAACAAGTCAAAAATTGCTTAGAAAAAATAAGATATCTTCAAATCAGCAGGCCCTGATGAAATGCATCCTAGAATACTCAAGGAGCTGACTGAGGCGATATCTGAGCCCATTAGCAATTATCTTTGAAAAATCATGGAAGACAGAAGACATTCCAGAAGACTGGAAAAGGGCAAATATAGTGCCCATTGTGACAAAGTTCCTCCTCTATCTTGGTGGGTCCTGCGCTTATTGGCGGATTTTCTTGCCTCAGAGATTCACCATGTGGGTTGGGGAACAGCCCAGAGACCTTCCCCTCTGGAAGAACCCACAGTCCAGGCCAATTGGGAGGTTTGGGGGGAACCCGGGCCCGCCCTCTATTCCAGGTTCCAGCCCAGGGCCCTGTGGACTGCAGCTCTCTATAGTGCCACCTGTAACAGCTGCATGACAGCTACAACTCCCTGGGCTACTTCCCCATGGCCTCCGCCAAACAACTTCCTTATTCTCACCACAGGACCTTCCTCCTGGTGTCTGACAACGCTTGTGCTCCTCAGTCCTCCAGCAGCACACCCTCACTCTCAACTCCTTGCGCCTCTTGCTCTCAGCTCCTCACATTCACACCACAAACTGAAGTGAGCTCCTTTTAAAACCCAGCTGCCCTGATTAGCCTGCCTTAATTGATTCTAGCAGCTTCTTCTTAATTGGCTCCAGGTGTCCTAATTAGCCTGCCTGCCTTAGCAGGTTCCTGATTACTCTAGTGCAGCCCCTGCTCTGGTCACTCAGGGAACAGAAAACTACTCATCCAGTGACCAGTATATTTGCCCTCTACCAGACTCCTGTACCCCGCTGGTCTGGGTCTGTCACACCATCTACAAAAAGGGAAATAAGGATAACCCAGGGAATTACAGACCAGTCAGCTTAACTTCTGTACCCGGAAAGATAATGAAGCAAATAATTAAGAAATCAGTTTGCAAATACCTAGAAGATAATAAGGTGATAAGTAACAGTCAGCATGGATTTGTCAAGAACAAATCATGTCAAACCAACTTGATAGCTTTCTTTGACAGGGTAACAAGCCTTGTGGATAGGGGGGAAGCGGTAGATGTGGTATATCTTGACTTTAGTAAGGCTTTTGATACTGTCTCGCATGACCTTCTCATAAACGAACAAGGGAAATGCAACCTAGATGGAGCTACTATAAGGTGGATGCATAACTGGTTGGAAAATCATTCCCCGAGAGTAATTATCAATGGTACACAGTCATGCTGGAAGGGCATAACGAGTTGGGTCCCGCAGGGATCAGTTCTGGGTCCAGTTCTGTTCAATATCTTCATCAATGATTTATATAATGGCATAGAGGGTACACTTATAAAGTTTGTGGACGATACCAAGCTGGGAGGGGTTGCAAGTGCTTTGGAGGGTAGGATTAAAATTCAAAATGATCTGGACAAACTGGAGAAATGGTCTGAAGTAAATAGGATGAAATTCAATAAGGACAAATGCAAAGTGCTCCACTTAGGAAGGAACCATCAGTTGCACACATACAAATGGGAAATGACTGCCTAGGAAGGAGTCCTGCGGAAAGGGATCTGGAGGTCATAATGGATCACAAGCTAAATATGAGTCAATAGCGAATGCTATTGCAAAAAAAGCAAATATCATTCTAGGATGTATTAGCAGGAGTTTTGTAAGCAACACATGAGAAGTAATTCTTCCGCTCTACTCCACGCTGATTAGGCCTCAACTGGAGTATTGTGTCCAGTTCTGGGCGCCACATTTCAGGAAAGATGTTGACAAATTGGAGAAAGTCCAGCGAAGAGCAACAAAAATGATTAAAGGTCTAGAAAACATGACCTGTGAGGGAAGATTGAAAAAACTGGGTTTGTTTAGTCTGGAGAAGAGAAGACTGAGAGGGGACATGATAACAGTTTTCAAGTACACCTCTACCCCTATATAACGTGACCAGATATAACACAAATTCGGATATAACGCGGTAAAGCAGCGCTCCGGGGGGGCGGGGCCACGCACTCCGGCGGATCAAAGCAGGTTCAATATAACGTGGTTTCACCTATAACGCGGTAAGATTTTTTGGCTCCCGAGGACAGCGTTATATCGGGGTAGAGGTGTACATAAAAGGTTGTTACAAGGAGGAGGGAGAAAAATTTTTCTTCTTAACCTCTGGGGATGGGACAAGAAGCAACGGGCTTAAATTGCAGCAAGGA